GAAATCACCAAAGGACTCTTTTTTCTCAACAACTAATATGAAATAGGGAGAAGAAGTATTATTTTCCCCATTTTATGGATGAGTAAACTGAGACTCAGAGACTAATTGATTATCCTATGACCATACAGTTAGGAAGTGTCCAAGCTGGGATTCAAATGCTGCTCTACTCTTTAAATACTAGCATACTGTCAACTTTTCTAGACCAGTTTGGAATGGATCCAACAGTAAATGAGAGTAAACCAATGTTTTCCTATCCCTAAGAGTGGCGAGATTCTCAGACTGGTCCCAGAAACAAACACAGAAGCCCAAAAACCTGGCTGTATTTTTCTTGGTCTCCTTTTATAATTTAATTTTTTTTCAGGAGATATTTTACACCAATCATTTCTGAATGTGTCTTGAAAAAAAAATTAACCTGAAGGGGGAAAGCTCAGCAAAGCTTAGGAATTCAAAGGATTTGGGAAGGAAATGGTCAGTGTCTAAAGGATGAAGATGATTTGGTGACTTGCCCAGGGACACCCTGTTTGCTAGTTAGTATCAGGGGCAGGATTTGTACCTTAGTCTCACTGACTCTAAATTCATCTGTCTGGCCACCACCCTCCATTATCTGTGCTGGAGGGGATAAGGGTTGGAAATCCACAAGACCAGATTTGACTTCCCATGTGAGTGGGATCCTCATTTCTCTCTGAATTTCAAGGGAAAATGCAGTCCTTTTTTTGATTCCTACTGGTAAGAGGAAATGCTAAATCCCAGACTGGTTTCCTCTTACCTCTTTCTTTTTGTGTCAGGAGAGTGTAATGAGACCCTATTTCCTTCTCTTTTCCTTTCCTCTCCCAGGGCTCCAGTCTTGCAGTGGAAGTCTGACTATGATGTTTCTACCGCATTACTGTAGTATTGAACCTTTAATTCTCTGTCTTTTTGAGGACATACTCCTGCAGTTTTCCCATTTTGGGTGCCTATATTCCCTTGGCTCTCTCTATGTCCCATGTGACTCATTTTAGGTAGTAGGACACTGAGGAAGAAAAAGGGAGGGTGACTTATGATTCTCAGCTCAACAAGGAAAAGGAAGCCCTGGGAGCAGAGAAGAGCCACAGGGCAAAGCTATATTAAGGCAAAGATAGGCTCTGCAAGCCCGACCACTAACCATAAGGAAGTCAGAGGATCTCCCAAATTGCCATGACCCTCACACGTTATTAATTTCTTCTTTTTTATTTTGAACATCAAAATATCAACAAATACATGTATCTCAATCTGCAAAGAAGAGCAGAAAAGAGGAATGTATATGAATCTCCGAAATTCTACTGAGCCTAATTTGGTGTTTTTAGGTATGTATATTAAGTTTACCACAATGGTAAATCACCTCCATTACTTGCTTGTGTCCCCTTCTAGAATTGCTTTTCCCCCTTAATTTTTCCTTGTTCCTCTTTTCTTTATTTTTCCTGGTGGTCAGTTGCCCCAAAGCTGTCCTCCTATATAATAGATTGTTTATAAAGAAACCAAGCAAAAATGTTGGCCAGAGCTGAAAATGTCTGCCTCATGTGGCGTCTCTAGTCTATGACCTCTCCATTCAAAGGTGGGAATCAGGCTTCACCTTCAGTCTTCTCCTGGAACGATGACTCGTTGCACTGATCAGCATTCTGGAGTCCTTCCAATTTGTTTTCACTGACAGTACTCCAGGCATGTCATTAGCTCTTCTCCAGGTTCTGTATACTTCACTCAGAAAGGGAAGCAAGTAAATGTGGCAAGAGAGTGTTTAGGAAATCACTCATTTGGGTGAACATTCTATATGTGACCAAAAATTACAGAAAAGATTGAAAAGCAGCCAGAGAGAAATCAAGCTTAGACCAATATCTCACACCATATACCCCAAGAAGCTGCATGTGTCATGGTGGAAGGTGGAAATTGAAAAAGGAACCCAGGAAATGCAAGGCTCTGTCAAGGGCTGGGGTTTGGTTCCTCGGGGGCAGTTTCATCACAGAGGAGAGAGGAGAGATGTGTGTGTAGTGGCATGACAAGGGTGCTGAGGGGGCAGTGATAAACTTGAGAGAGCAGCAGAGACTGAGGAAACCAATGCAAAATGAAATAGGAAGGAAAGTTATGGTCACCATTGATTTGAATGATTACTCAGCATGGCCTTCATACTGCTTTGATACTGTAACTGCCTAGATCTTAGGATTGTAGGTTTAGAAGGGGAAGGGACATTAGCTGTCTTGTCCAACACGAACTGTGGCCCAAAGAGGGGGGCCTTGTTCCAGGGGATTCCTGCAGTAAGAGGCAGATCCTGGATCTGGTCCCGGTTCTACTGCCTCCAGACCTGGATAGGAAAGTTACATCTCAAACAAATTTCAGGAAAATTGAAGGAGATGTTTGTCCTACCCACCACTCTTGAGCCCATTAAATAGTAACATTTTATTCATACCCATCTTCCTCCTAAATCTTGTTTTCTCTCTCTCTCTCTCTCTCTCTCTCTCTCTCTCTCTCTCTCTCTCTCTCTCTCCTCTCTCTCTCTCTCTCTCTCTCTCTCTCTCTCTCTCTCTCTCTCTCTCTCTCTTCTCTCTCTCTCTTTTTAGAATTTCAATCTTTCTCTTAGGTTCCACTGGTAATGTAAAGAAAGGCTGATGATCATCTGGCTTTATTTTTTACACATTTACATTGCTAATTTATTGTTTTAATTAAATTTTAGTTGAATCTCCAGGGTTATCTAAGTAGAATATCATATGATCTGTGAAAAGTGATAATTGTATTTCATCTTTACTTAAGGTAATTGCCTGAATGATACAATGTTGTTACCTTTTTTTGAGTGAATCCTTTTTAAAATCAATTTATTTTTAGTTTTCAACATTTACTTCAATGAGTTTTGAGTTCTAAATTTTCTCCCCTTCCCTTCCCAGCTGTCTCCCCAAGATGGTGTGGGATTTGATATAGGCTCTACATATACATGCCTATACATATACATTCTCTTTTTTTTTTTTAACATGAATTTCATTTCAATTGGAAATGAGCAACGTGATGGTATATATGATAGTTGTATACTTAAAAATGTCATGGCATCATACATACACTCATCCTGAGAGAGTCTCAGATTGTTTCCTTTCCCATGGGGATCTGTCCCATGATTTTGTGAAACCCTGCCTGAAGTCAGTAGGCCTCAGACTGAGACCTGAAGGCATCACTTTCTGGTTAGTAAAATTTGGAAAAGCCATTGAAGAATACTGGCAATTCTATAGCAACTATTCAAGAAATGATCTGATTAGAGTATTGGCCAGGGGTACTGTGAGGTTAAAGATCACAGAGCTAATAAGTTTCAGGGATGGACCTTGAACCCAGGTCTTCCTGACTTCAAGCTTAGAAGTCTATCCACTTTATGTCAAGTCTCATAAATAAATTAGACATGCTTCCTGGTGCTGCCATTGGGCCTACGGTAGCGCCGCAGCCATGGTCATCCGATACCCCATGGCCGTAGGCCTCAACAACGGCCACAAAGTTACCAAAAACATTTTGAAGCCGTGACACTGCCACTGCTGTGGGCGCTTGACCAAACACAGTAAGTTTGTGAGAGATATGATCCCGGAGGTGTGTTGATTTGCCCCTATGAGAGGTGGGCCATGGAATTGTTAAAGGTCTCCAAGGCTAAGGGAGCCCATAAGTTCATCAAAAAAAGGGTGGGAACTCATATCCGGGCCAAGAGGAAGAGAAAGGAACTCAGCAATGTCCTAGCTGCTATGAGGAAGGCTGCTGTCAAGAAAGACTAAGCTGGACCCTGTCAACCTTCCCCACTTATCCAAAAAAGATTTGACAAATAAAATAAATAAATACATAAATACATAAATTAAATATATAAATAAATAAACTAGATATAAGAATACCAACCTTGCATACTTAGTAAGTTTGTTGTGAAGATTATGTGAGATAATCAGTGTTAAAAACTTTTGTATCCTTAAAGTGATGCAAAGTGAAATGAGCAGAACCAGGAGAACACTGTACACAGTAACAGCCACATTGGGCAATGACCGACTTTGAGAGACTTAGCTCTTCTCAGCAACGCAAGGAGCTAAGAGAACTCCAAGACAGAAATTGCTATCCACACTCAGAAAAAGAGATATGGAATCTGAATGCAGATGGAAGGATACTATTTGCTCTCCTTTTCCTTTGTTGTTTTGTTTTATCGCTTCATTCTCACGATCTTTCCATTAGTTCTAATTGTCCTTTGCATGATGACTAATTGGGAAAATATGCTTAACATGAATGTATGTGTAGAGCTTATGTCAGATTGCATACCATTTTTTGGGGGGGAAATAAGTAGGAGGGGAAGAAATTTTAAACCCCAAAAACTTCTCAAAGTGAAGGTTGAGAATTAAAAATAAATAAATAAATTATCAAAAAAATGAAAGCAAAAAAAAATAGTGATAAAAATTCAATGTGTTAAAATCATGACACAAGAAAGCAGGGATGGGCCAAGACCAGGAGGCCTAGTTTCATGGACCTGCTCATGGCCACCATTTGCACAAAACTTGTTGAGGAGTTCCCTTCAAGGAGCTGAGGTGTTTCCTCTGTATGGACCATTTTCTGTGAGTCTAAAAGCGTGAAGTCACCAAACCTGAGGACATTTCCAGGATCTGCTTCTGACTACCAATGTGACCTCAGACAAGTCACTCCTATCTGGGCCACAATTTCTTTAGCTGGAAAAAGAGTGTTCCACTAAACCACCTAAATCTAACTCTGAACTACCTCTAAATCTATAATCCTAAGAGTTAGGCAGTTATGATATCAAAGAAGTATGAAGGTCATGTTGAATACTTCTTCACATCAATAGTGAAAAAACTCTCTTTTGTATTAGTTTTCACATTTCATCTGTCTTGTCTGCTAGCTCAGGTTCACCACTTCCCCCTTTGCACCCTTGCCACCCCACCACATGCATAATTCTCCTCTATCTATCCTCCCTCCTCTTTCACCCATGATGAAGCTACACTGGGGGAGAAAACCTCAGTTCTTGACACTACCCTTACATTTTCTGGGTTCCCTTTTTAGTTTCTGTCTCCTACCACGACATCAGCTCTCCACAGGAAATTCCACTCCTTTTAGGTTCCTTCTTTCGCATTGGGTCCTCCCAGAAACCCCAATAAAAACAGGGCCCACACCTGAGACAGAGAAACAGATCTCCGGAGTCTCCCAGCTAGTGCTCTTCTCCTCCAAGCCTTTTCTCCTCTCTGGACCATGAAGGTCTCTGTGGCAGCCTTCTCCATGCTCATGGTCATGGCCTTCAGCTCTCTGGCATCCTCTGCACCAAGTAAATGCTCCTTCTCTTTCCCTCTGTGGCTGTGTCTAGGCTGTGGTTATAAGCTAGATAGGACCTTGACAGGAGACGAGGCTCGGTACATAGGTATCTGTGAGTGTGGGGAGGGGGAGGAATGAGAAGGAGAAGCAAGAGGAGAAGCAGGGAGGATGTCTATACCTGTTGAACCTGAAGGCATCAAAATGCCCTTTGCAGTACATAAGGGTTGAACGTTAAATGGAGACAGGGAAAGAGAGCAGAAAGCACAGAGACTGGATTCTGTGTCTGGCTAAGTTCTCCACTCTGGCTCTTCCACTAATTACCCAAGTGATCTCCAGCAAGTGGCTTCCTCAGCATAGGTAGGAATTGGATGGGCAGATCTCTGACATCCCTTCTAGCTCGCACACTTCAATTTTCCTCAAAATATCTCCTATGGGGATGGGAACAGCAGATCTGATCCTCCTCGGGGCACAATGAGCATCATACTTGATATTTGAGGCAAGTAGGATAAGGGAGAGAGGAGCTATCACATATCCAGTGTGCCTAATCCTGAGTTTGTCCATGGGATTGCATCAGTAGCTGAGGAAGGTAAGATGTGAACATCAGACCTCACTAATCTCATGCCTCCCCTTCCTTTGCAGTGGGCTCTGACCCTCCCACCTCCTGCTGCTTCTCCTATGTCAGCCAACGGATCCAAAGAAAATTTGTGACAGATTATTATGAGACCAGCAGCCTGTGCTCCCAGCCAGCTGTGGTGTGAGTATCTACCCACTGAATCTCTATAGAGCATCCAGAGAGAGAGAATGGCAAGGAGAAATGGGGTCGTTTGGCAACTTGGTGAAATATATGCATCAAGGCACTCAGGGGAAACCCTGGCTACAAGGAAAAGAAGTCCCCCTAAGTGGACCCTGGGTAATGTTGGGTTCTCCAAGGAATATGGTGAGAGACAGTTACCCAAGGGGGAGGGAGAAACAGAAGCAACAGGGATTATATGCCAAGATGGGGATTTCTGAGATACTCCCCACTGGACAGGGGAGTATCTCTCCCCTGTCTCTAGAGAGAAGCAGAATGATGCAGAAGGGCCTGAGAGATATTGCTAGAGGGGAGGATTTTTCCTTATGGCCTTGCAGAGATGTGCAGGAAGTGGTCAGTGCTGGACATGGGGGGAGCACAGAGAACCATCTTTCCATCTGTGACCTCTCATCTCTCCTCCTCTCTGTCCCCAGGTTCCAGACCAAAAGAGGCCGGGAGGTGTGTGCCAACCCCAGTGATGCCTGGGTTCAGAGCTATGTGGAAGACCTGGAGCTGAACTGAGGGCCTCAGAGGCCTTGAAAAATGACTCTTAAAGGGAAATGGACCAAGCCAAGGAATTCCACAGTCAGATGCAATCTCCCCAAGCTGCTGCCTGCTGGAGATCCTTTCCCCCATTAGAAATGATTTTTAGGGGGCAGCTAGGTGGTGCAGTGGATAGAGCACTGGCCCTGAAGTCAGGAGGACCTGAGTTCAAATCTGGCCTCAGACCAAACACTTGACACTTGCTAGCTGTGTGACCCTGGGCAAGTCACTTAACCCCAATTGCCTAAAAAAGCAAAAAAAGAAAAAGAAATGATTTTTATCTGTGAGATTTAATTTATGTAAGTTATTTGGTGGCAGGTTTGGGTATGTGTTCTTGCTATTTGCACTTCTGGAAGACCACTGTTCCCCATGGGAAGTTCTATTAGCAACTTGGCCTCTCTTGCTTAGAGTCCTTTGGGTCACCTGCTGCATTCCATGAATATCTGTAGCACAAAGATTTCAGAATAAAATGTCTGAAAACGTATCTTTTTGTTGTAGTTTCAATGTTTTTTAGGGATGAGGGGTTTAGGAGATGCTCTTATTAGATAAAGCTGATGTAGCATCATTGGACAACAAAGGTTCTGTAAAAGCTCTGTGGGTTCCATGGGCTGCCATCTCACATGGAGTCAGCAGATTGATTTCAAAAATCCCATCTTCTCCCATGTTGAGAAGCAAAGTTCCAGATATAGAGAGGCGATATTCCTACTCTTCTGACCTGATAAGATCATGCAGGGAGTCTTGTGATCAGTATCCATAATACAGGAAGAACATTTGGAAGCCAGAGAACATTCACAAATAGGCATCCAATAATATGAAGTGCCTAGAGTCACAAGAGGAAGATTTGAAGGAACTAAGAGTGTTGGGGAGAGAAGGGAAGAGCCACATCAGTCACGATTTCTCAAGCATTACCGGATCTGCCTTTTGGAAGAGTTGAGATTTGTGCTCTCTGGGGCCTAGGATAGAACGAAGGACAAGAGGTGGGATTTGTAAGGACTGAAATTTAGGCCTGATATTAGGAAAGACTTCTTAACAATTATAGCTGTCTAAATTGGACTAGAGTGCATCAAGCAACAAACTAGGTTGGGTTCCCTCTCCCATGAAGGTCTTTAAACAGTGGCTAAGTGACCGTCCACAAAGCACATGCATGATAGCGGTGATTTATTTCAATCGCCTTTTGAAGAAGATCAATATGTTGTCCTTGTTGAGTCATTTCAGTCATGTTTGACTGTTTGCCGTATTTTAGGTTTTCTTCACAGAGATACTAGAGTGGTTTACCATTTCCTTTTCTAGCTCATTTAACAGATAAGGAAACTGAGGCAAACAGAGTTAAGGACTTACCCAGAGCAACACAGCTAGTAAGAGTCTGAGGCCAGATTTGAACTCAGGAAGATGTCTTCCTGACTCTTGAATCAGCGTTCTATCCACTAAAGCTCATGTAAATTCCTGAAATGCATGCAATCCTCCTTGGCACTCCCACATGGCCTCTACCAGGCATTACTTGTGTGATGTTGGGCAATGCATTCAAGCTTTCCCTCCTGGGTATCCCTTAAGACTGCTTTGAGGCTGACATGAGGTAAGAGGGGCAGCAAAACATGCTTTAAGAGCTGGAAAGAGCTTTAGTGAAGTAAAGGCTTTGTTCTTCTTCATTGTTTTCTATTAGTCAGTGGTGATTGTGGGTGAGCAGTGTTCCCATTCTCCCTGCCATGCCTGCAGCGCAGCATTGCTGGGCAGGAGAAATCCCAAGGAAGATTTGAAAGGGATTGGGAAGGAAAATGAGTCCTTGTTGAACTTCAGTCCCTCTAAGGTTCCTTCCAGCTCCAAATCCTTGAGTTCTAGTCTAGAACTCCCATTCTTAGGGGGCTTGAAGTCACCAAAGGACTCTTTTCTCTCAACAACCCATGTGAAATAGGGAGGAATATTATTATCACCATTTTATGGATGAGGAAACTGAGGTTCTGAGAGATTAATTGATTTTTCCATGGGCTAAGAAGTGGCCAGGCTGGGGTTCTAACACTGCTCTACACTTGGAACACCTACATATTGTCAACTCTACCAGACTAGTCTGGAATGGTCCCCACAGTGAATGAGAGTTAATCAATACTTTTCTATCCCTAAGAGTGGAGAGGCTCTCAAAATTGCCCCAGAAACAGAGAAGCTAACACCTGGCTGTACTTTTCTTGTTCTCCTTTTACAAATCAATTTTATTTTTTTCAGTGGATATTTTACACCAGTCATTTCTGAATGTGTCTTGTGCTCATATATTGAAAAAAAAAATTAACCTGAAGGGAGAAATGTTCAGTAAAACTGAGTAAATTTAAAGGACTTGGGAAGGAAATGGTCGGTGTCTAAAGGATGAAGATGATTTGGTGACTTCCCAGGAATACCTTTTTTGCTAGTCAGTATCAGGGGTGGAATTTGAACCTCAATCTCCCTGACTCTAAGTTCATCTCTCTAGCCACCACATCACACTACCTGTGCTGAAGGAGAAAAGGGCAGGAAATCCACAGGACCAGATGTGACTTGCCATGTGAGTGGGATCCTCATTTCTCTCCTAATTTCAAGGGAAGAAGCAGTTCTCTTTCGATTCCTACTGATAAGAAGGAATGCTAAACCCCAAGCTGGTTTCCTCTTCCCTTTTCCTTCTTGGGTCTGGAGAATGTGGTAAGATGCCCTTTCATTCTCTTTTCCCTTTTCCCAGGGCTCCAGTCTTCCCGTGGAGGTTTGACTATACTGTTTCTATGGCTATAGTGTAGCATTGAACTTTTGATTTTTTATCTTTTTGAGGACAAACTCCTATGGCATTCCCATTTTGGGTCGCCATATTCCCTTGGATCTCTCTATGTCCCCTGTGACTCACTTTAGGTTGTAGGACACTGAGGAAGAAAAAGGGAGAGTGACTTATGATTCTCAGCACAGAGAGGAAGAGGAAGCCCTGGGAGCAGAGAAGAGCCATTTGTTAAGGCAAGGTTAGGCTCTGCAAACCCAACCACTGACCATAAGGAAGTGATATCCAAAGCTACATCAGAGTGTCTCCCAAATCACCCTGACCCTCACATATGACTAATTTCTTTTTTTTTTTTTTAATTTCAAATATCAAAATAACAAATACAAGCATCTCAATGTGTAAAGAAGAACAGTAAAGAGGAGGGTATATGAATCTCTGAACTTCTACTGAGTAGAGTTGAGTGGTTTTAGGTATATGTAAACTTTACCATAATGGCAAATCACCTTCTTTACTTGCTTGTGTCCCCTTCTAGAACTGCTTTTCCCCACCTCAATATTTCATTGTCACTCTTTCTTTTATTTCTCCTATTTTTGTTTTCCTTTCAGTTGCCCCAAAGCCATCCTCCTATATAACAGATTGTGTATAAAGAAACAAAGCAAAAGCATAGGCCAGAGCTGAAAATGTCTGTCTCATTTGGCATCTCGAGCGTATCACCTCCCCATCAAAAGATGGGAGTCAGGCTTCATCTTCAGTCATCTGCTGGAGTGACCATTCATTGCAGGGCTCAGCATTCGGGAGTCATTCCAATTTGTTTTCTTGACAATACTCCAGTCAGTAGCTCTTCTCCCAGTTCTGTTTACTTCACTTAGGAGGAGAAGCAAGAGAATGTGGCAACAGAGTATTTAGCAAACCCATGGAAATCACCCACTTGGTTGAGCATTCTATATGTGACAAAAAGTACTGAAAAACCTGGAAAGCAGCCATAGAGAAATCAAGCTTAGACCAATATCTCACACCATATACCCCAAGAAGGTGCACATGTCATGGTGGGAGTTGGAAACTGAAAAAGGAACCCAGGCAATGCAAGGCTGTATTAAGGGCTAAGGCTGGTTCCTCAAGGCAGTTTCCTCAAGGGGGAAAGAGGATAGTGGATGGAGAGGGGAGAGAAGTGTGTGTAGTGCCATGATAAGGGTGCTGAGGGGGCAGTGATAAACTTGAGAGTAACAGAAACTGAAGAAACCAATGCAAAATGAAATAGAAAGGAGGGTCGTGGTCATCATTGATTTGAAGGATTATTAAGCATGACCTTCATACCACTTTGATATTAGAACTGCCTTGATCTTAGTACTAACACATGGGAGGCAGAAGGGCCGTTAAGCTGTCTTGTTCAACACCCTCCTTTTACAACTAAAGAAAATGTTCCTCAGAGAGAGGGGCTTTGTTCCAGGTGATTCCAGGAGTGAGAGGAAGATCCTGGGTCTGGTCCCAGTTCTACTGCCTCCACACCTGGATAGGAAAGTTACATCTCAAACAAATTTCAGGAAAATTGAAGGAGGTGTTTGTCCTACCCCACACTCTTGAGCCCATTAAATAGTATTCACACCCATCTCTGTCTTCCCCCCATATATTGTTTTCTTTTCTTTAAAATCAATTTCATTTCCATTGAGGGAAAGGATGTGATGTTATAGATGATAATTGAGTACTTAAAAATGTCATAGTATCACACAGGGCTCAGCATTCTGGAGTCATTCAAATTTGTTTTCATTGACAATACTCCAGTCATCAGCTCTTCTCCCAGTTCTGTTTACTTCTCAGCTTGCCTCCTCTTCCCGTGTGGGTCTGCCAATAATTTTGTCAAACCCTGCCTGAAGTCAGAAGGCCTAAGGTTGAAACTTAAATCTGTCACTTTCTGGTTATTAAAATCAGGACAAGTCATTTAAGAATAGTGGTAATTGTATAGCAACTATTCTAGAAATGATCCGTTTAGAATGTTGGCCAGGGGGACTGTCAAGTTAAAGATTGCACAGCTAACAAGTTTCAGAGACAGGAGTCGAACCCAGATCTTCCTGAATTCAAGCCTAGGACTCTATCTGCTTTATGTCAAGTCTCATAAATAAACTGGCGGTAAGAATATCAACCCTGAGTACTTCATACATTTGTTGTAAAGATGATATGAGATAATCAGTACTAAACTCTTTTGTATCCTTAAAGTGATACAAATGTAAGGTGTTAAAATCATTATACAAGAAAGCAGATTAAAGGATGGGCCAAAACCAGGAAGCCTCATTTCATAGATCTGCTCATGACCACCATTTGTACAAAAGTTGTCAAGGAGTACCCTTGGTGTTCCCTCTGTATGGAACATTTTCTGTGAGTATAAAAATGTGAAGTCAGCAAACATGAGAATATTTCCAGGATCTGCTTCTGACTACCAGTATTACCTTGGACAAATCACTTCTTTGTGGTTGGACCTCAGTTTCTTTAGCTGGAAAATGAGTATTCAATTAAACCACCTAGGACCCTTTAACCTGTAAGTCTGCAGCCCTAAGATCTAGGCATTTATGATATCAAAGCAGTATAAAAGTCATGTTGAGTACTTCTTCATATCAATGATTAACCAAACTTTCTTTTCTCTTTGTATTTGCCTATGTTTCATCTGTTTCCACTGCTAGCTCAAGTTCACCACTTCCCCCTTAGCACTCTTGCCACCCACTGCGTGCATAATTCTCTTCTATCTATCCTCTTTCACCCATGATGAAGCTACACCGGGGGAGAAAACCTCAGTTCTTGACATTAGCCTTACATTTCCTGGGTTCCCTTTTTAGTTTCAAATTCCTATCATGACATCAGTTCTCCACAGGAATTTCCACTCCTTTTAGGTTCCTTCTTTCCCTCTGGGTACTCCCAGAAACCCCTATAAAACCAGGTCCCACACCTGAGACAGAAGCACAGACCTTCAGAGTCTCTTAGCTTGTGCTCTGTTCCTCCAAGCCGTCTATCTTCTCAGGATCATGAAGGTCTCTGTGGCAGCCCTCTCCATGCTCATGGTCATGGCCTTCAGCTCTCTGGCATCCTCTGCACCAAGTAAGTGCTCCTTCTCTTTCCCTCTCTGTCTTTGCCCAGATTCTGCTCATAGGCTGGATAGAACCCTGGTAGGAGATGAGGCTAGTCTGATTATATGGATCTGTGAGGGTGGGGAGGGGAAGGACTAAAAAGGAGGGGCAGGAGCAGGGAACCTGAGGATGTCTATACATTTGGACTTGAAAATATTATCCTGCCCTTGACAGTATATGCTGCTTAAATGTTAAGTGGAGATGAGACAAGAGAGCAGAAAGGGCGCTGGGCTGGACTCTCTGTCTGGCTAAGTTCTCATTCTGGCTCTGCCACTAATTACCCAAGTGATCTCCAGTAGGTGGCTTCCTCAGCAAAGGCAGGAATTGGATGGGCAGATCTCTGACATTCTTTCTGGCTCCCACACTTCAGGTTTCTACAAATTATCTCCTATGAGAATGGTAACAGCAGGTGTGATCCTCCTCCAGCACAGTGAGAATCATACCAGGTACTAGGGGAAAGCAGGATAAGGGAGACAGGAAGGATCACATGCCCAGTGTGCCTAGTACTGAGTATGTCCATGGGATTGAGTCAGTAGCTGAGGAACATAAGGTGTGAACATGAGAATTTACTAATCTCATGCCTCCCCTTCCTTTGCAGTGGGCTCTGACCCTCCCACCTCCTGCTGCTTCTCCTATGTCAGCCAACAGATCCCCAGAAAATTTGTGACAGACTATTATCAGACCAGCAGCCTGTGTTCCCAGCCAGCTGTGGTGTGAGTATCTACCCACTGAATCTCAGGGGGAGATTCAGGGAGAGAGGATGGTTAGGAGAAATCGGGCCATTTGGCAACTTGGTGAAATATATGAATGTATGACACCCAGGGGAAATCCTGGTTACAAGGGAAAGAAGTCCCACAAGTGGCCTAAGTTGGGTTCTCCAAGAAACATGATGGGAACTGCTCACCCAAGGGGGAGGGAGAAACAGAAGCAACAGGGATTATATACCAAGATCAGGCTTCCTGAGATATTCCCCACTGGACAGGTCTCTAGAGAGAAGCAGAATGACTCAGAAGGGCCTGAGAGATACTGCTAGAAGTGAGGATTTTTCCTTATGGCCTTGCAGAGATGTGCAGGAAGTGGTCAGTGCTGGACATGGGGGGAGCACAGAGAACCATCTTTCCATCTGTGACCTCTCATCTCTCCTCCTCTCTGTCCCCAGGTTCCAGACCAAAAGAGGCCGGGAGGTGTGTGCCAACCCCAGTGATGCCTGGGTTCAGAGCTATGTGGAAGACTTGGAGCTGAACTAAGGGGCTCAGGGGCCTGGAAGAATGACTCTTAAAGGGAAATGGACCAAGCCAAGGAATTCCACAGTCAGATGCAATCTCCCCAAACTCCAGCCTGCCGTTATAATTTATTCTTATCTGTGAGATTAATTTATGTAAGTTATTTGGTGGCAGCTTTGGATATGTGTTCTTGCTATTTGCACTTCTGGAAGACAACTGTTCCCCATGGGGACTCCTGTTAGCAGCCTGGCCTCTCTTCCTTAGAGTCCTTTGGGTTACCTGCTGCATTCCATGAGTATCTCTAGCACAAAGATTTCAGAATAAAATATTTGAAAACCATATCTTTTGGCTGCGGTTTCAGTGTCCTTTGGGGATGAGAGTTTGAGGAGATGAGTTCTGCTCTTCTAGATATAACACTGATGCAGTATTGTTGGACAGCAAATGTTCTGTAAAAGCTCTTTGGGCTCAGAGAAATGCCATCTCACTTTGAGTCAGCAGGTTAATGGGGATATCAAAAATTTCAACTTCTCCCATGTTGAGACGCAAACTTCCAAGAATAGAAAGGCACTATTCCTGCTGTTCTGATCTGATAAGACCATGCAGGGAATCTTGTCATCAGTATCCACAGTTAAAGAAGGACTTTTGGGAGCTAGAGAATGTTAAGAGAAAGGTATCCAATGACACAAAGTGCCTACAATAGGAAGTGGATGATGTGAAGGAAGTAGGGATGGTCAGTGGGGAGGAGAGAAGAGCCACATCAGCCACGATTTCTGTTTTCAAGTATTAGATGCTCTGGGGCAGCTAGGTGGTGCAGTGGATAGAGCACCAGCCCTGGATTTAGGAGGATCTGAGTTCAAATCTGGCCTAAGACACATAACACTTAGTAGCTGTGTGACCCTAGGCAAGTCACTTAACCCCATCGCCTAGCCCCTTCCCCCAAGAAAAAGTATTAGATGTTCTGTCCTTTGGAAGAGTTGAGATTTTTGCTCTCTGAGGCCTGAGGATAGAACCAAGAAAAAGGGGTGGGATTTTGTAAGGGCCTAAATTTGGGCCTGACATTAGGAAAAACTTCTTCACAATTATAGATGTCCACACTGGAATAGACTGCATCAAGCTGGCGTGGGTTCCCTCTCCCCTGGAGGTCTTTAAACAGTAACTAGGTAACCATGCACAAAGGATGTGATAGTGGCGATTTTTTAAAATCACCCTTTGAAGCAGACCAATATGCTGTTGAGTCATTTCAGTAGTGTCTAACTATTCATTACTGCATTTTAGGTTTTCTTTGCAGAGATACTAGAGTGGTTTACCATTTCCTTTTCTAGCTCATTTAACAGATGAGGAAACTGAGGCAAACAGTTAAGGACTTACCCAGAGTAACACAGCTAGTAAGGGTCTGAGGCCAGATTTGAACTCAGGAAGATGTCTTCCTGACTCCAGAACCAGCATTCTATCCACTAAAGCACATGTAAATTCCTGAAATGCATCCAATCCTCCCTGGCACTCTCACATCGCCTCTGCCAGGCATTAGTTGTGTGATGTTGGACAACGCATTCAAGCTTTCCCTCTTGTTTATCCCTTAAGAGTGGCCTGGGGCTGACATGAGATAAGAGGGGCAGCAGAACATGCTTTAAGAACTGGAAAGAGCTTTAGTGAAGGAAAGGCTGTTATTCTTCTTCATTGTTTTCTATTAGTTAGTGGTGGTTGTGGGTGAGCAGTGTTCCCATTCTCCCCGGCCTGCCTGCAGCACAGGGCTGCTAGGGAGATGAAATCCCAAGGAAGATTTGAAAGGGATTGGGAAGGAAAATGAATTCTTGTTGAACTTCAATCCCTCTAGGTTCCTTCTAGCTCCAAATCCTTGATTTCTAATCCAGAACTCCCATTCTTGAGGGTTTGAGGTCACCAAAGGACTCTTTTTTCTCAACAACCCATGTGAGATAGAGAGGAGTATTATTATCTCCATTTGATGGATGAGGAAACTGAGGCTCTGAGAGATTAATTGATTTTTCCCATGAGCATGCAGCTAGGAAGTGTCCAAGCTGGGCTTCCAACACTGCTCTATAGTGCATATTGTCAACTCTACCAGGCTAGTTTGGAATGGTCCCTACAGGGAATGAGAGTGAATCAATCATTCCCAAATCCTAAGAGTTTTGAGGCTCTCAAAGTGGCCCCAGAAAAAAACAGCAAAGCCCAAAGATGTGCCTGTACTTTTCTTGGTCTCCTTATATTTCAATTTTATTTTTTTTTCCCAGTGGATATTTTCCACCAATCATTTCTGAATGTGTCTTACACTTATGTCTTGAAAAAAAAAGTTTTTAAACAGAAGGGGGAAAAGCTCAGCAAAACTTAGGGAATTTAAAGGACTTGGGAAGGAAATGGTCAGTGTCTAAAGGATGAAGATGATTTGATGACTTGCCCAGGGACACCCTGTTTGCTAGTCAGTATCAGGGGCAGGATTTGTACCTCTGTCTCCCTGACTCTAAGTTTATCTCTCTAGCCACCACATCATACTACCTGTGCCGGAGAAGAAAGGGCAGGAAATCCACAACACCAGATCTGACTTGCCATGTGAGTGGGATCCTCATTTCTCTCTGAATTTCAAGGGAAAAAGCAGTTGTCCTTTGATTTCTACCAATAAGAAGGAATGCTAACCCCCCCCCCCCTTTGGTTTCTTCTTCTCCTTTCCTTCTTGGGTCACGATAATGTAGTGAGACCCTCTTTCCTTCTTTTTTCCTTTCCTTTCCCAAGGCTCCAGTTTTCCAGTGGAAGTCTTGCTAAGATGTTTCTATGGCTTTACTGCAGCACTGAGCCTTTAATACTTTGTCTTTTTGAGGACATGCTCCTGTGGCATTCCTATTTTGGGTGCCTATATTCCCTTGGATTTCTCTATGTCCTCTGTGACTCATTTTAGGTAATAGGACACTGAGGAAGAAAATAGGAAAATGACTCTGATTCTCAGCACAGGGAGGAAGAGGAAGCCCTGGGACTAAGAATTGCTGTAGGGCTAACCTTAATTAAGAGAAGGTTCGGCTCTGCAAACCCAACCACTGACCATAAGAAAGTGACATTCAAACCTACATCAGAGTGTTTCCCAAACCACCATGACCCTCATACATGACTAATTTCTTCTTTTTTTATTATGAACATCAAAATATCAACAAATATGCATACTTCAATATACAAAGAAGAAAAGAAAAGAGGAAGGTGTATAAATCTGTGAACTTCTACTGAATGCAGTTTGGTGTTTTTAGTTATATATTAAGTTTACCATAATGGTAAGTCACCTCCCTTTCTTGCTTGTGTCCCTTTCTAGGATTGCTTTTTCCTCCCTCATTTTTTCATTGTTCTCTCTTTCCTTTATTTCTCCGAATTTTGCTTTGTTATTAGATGCCCCAAAGCCATTCGTCTATGTAACAGATTGTTTGTAAAGAAACGAAGCAAAAATGTTGTTCAGAGCCGAAAATGTCTGTCTCTTTTCACATCTCCAGTCTATCACCTCCCCATCAAAAGGTGGGAATCAGGCTTCATCTTCGCTCTTCTGCTGGAATGATCATTCATTGCACTGATCAGCATTCTGGAGTCCTTCCAATTTGTTTTCATTGACAGTATTCAGTGACGTCATTAGCTCTTCTCCCAGTTCTGCTTACTTCCCTCAGAAAGAGAAGTAATTAAATGTGGCAGCAGAGTGTCTAGGAAACCCAAGGAATTCACCCACTTGGGTCAGCATTCTGTATGTGAACAAGAATACTAGAAACACTGGAAAGCAGCCAGAGGGAAATCAAACTTAGACCACTATGTCACACCGTATACTACAAGAAGCTGCATGTGTCGTGGTGGGAGTTGGCACCTGGAAAAGGAACCCAGGAAATGCCAGGCTCTGTCAAGGGCTGGGGTTTGGTTCCTCAGGGCAGTTTCATCATGGAGGAAAGAGGAGAGTGGATGGAGAGAGGAGAGGTGTGTGTGGGTAGTGCCATGACAAAGATGCTGAAGGGGCAGTGATTAACTTGAGAGAGCAGCAGAGACTGAGGAAACAAGTGTTGAACTAAATAGGAAGGATAATTATGGTCACCATTAATTTGAAGGATTATTCAGCATGGCCTTCATACTACCTTGATACTGTAACTGCCTAGATCTTAGGACTGTAGAATGTGAAGGAGAAGGGCCATTAGCTGTCTTGTCCAACAGCAGCTATGGCCTAGAGAAAGGGGCCTTGTTGAGGTGATTCCAGTAGTGAGAGGCAGATCCTGGATCTGGTCCTAGTTCTACTGCCTCCAGACCTGACAGGAAAGTTACATCTCAAACAAATTTCAAGAAAATTGAAGGACATGCCTGTCTTACCCCACCACTCTTTAGCCCATTAAATAGTAACATTTTATTCACACCCATCTCCTTCATCCCCCCACAACTTGTTTTTTCTTCTGTAACATCAATTTCATTTCCATTGGATAAAAAAGGATGTGATGATATATATGATGGTTGTGTACTTAGAAATGTTATGGTATCCTACATACAGTCCTCCTCAGAATGTCAGAGGTTATTTCCTCTCCCATGGGGGTCTGTCCCGTAACTTTGTCAAACGCTGACTGAAGTCAGAAGGCCTCACATTGAATCCTGAACCTGTCACTTCCTAGTTATTAAAATTTGAACGAGCTGCCTAAGAAAACTGGTAATTACATAGCAACTATTCCACAAATGATCTGATTAGACTATTCGCTGGGGTTAAAGGTCACGCAGCTAAAATGTTTCAGAGTTGAGACTTGAACCCACTTCCTCCTAATTTCAAACCTAGGACTCTATCCACTCTATGTCAAGTCTCATAAATAGAGCAGGGATAAGAATACCAACCCTGCCTACTCCATAAGGTTGTTGCAAAGATGATATGGGATAATCAGCATTAAAATCTCTTGTATCCTTAAAGTGATGTAAATGTAAGGTGTTAAAATCATTACACAAAAAATCAGATGAAGGGATGGGCCAAGACCAGGAGGCCTCATTTCACGGACCTGCTCATGGGCACCATTTGCACACAACTTGTCGAGAAGTGCCCTTGAAGGAGCTGAGGTGTTTCCTCTGTATGGAACATTTTCTGTGAGTATGAAAATGTGAAGTCAACAAACCTGAGAACATTTCCAGCATCTGCTTCTGACTACTGATGTGACCTTGGACAAGTCACTTCTTTCTGGGCCACAATTTCTTTAACTGGAAAAAAGAGTGTTCAACTAAACCACCTAGGACCTTTTTACCTCTCAATCTATAATCCTAACATCTAGGCAGTTATGATATCAAAGCAGTTTGAAGGTCATGATTATTTCTTCTTATCAATGGTCAACAAAACTTTCTTTTCTATTTATTTTTGCATACATTTCATCTGTCTCAGCTTCTGCTCAGGTTCATCACTTCCCCCTTAGCACACTTGCCACCCCAACACATGCACACTTCTCTCTCCATCCTTCCTCCTCTTTCACCCATGATGAAGCCACACTTGGGGGGGAGGTAGGGAGAAACTCAGTTGTTGACACTAGCTTTACATTTCCTGGGTTCCCTTTTTAGTTTTGAACTCCTACCATGACATCAGTTCTCCACTGGACTTTCCACTCTTTTTAGGTTCCTTCTTTCTCTCTGAATACTCCCAGAAACCCCTATAAAATGAGGTCCCACACATGGGACAGAGACACATACCTTCAGTCTCTTAGCTTGTGCTCTGCTCCTCCAAGCCTTTTCTCCTCTCAGGATCATGAAGGTCTCTGTGGCTGCCCTCTCCATCCTCATGGTCATGGCCTTCAGCTCTCTGGCATCCTCTGCACCACGTAAGTGAGCTTTCGCTTTCTTTCTGTGGCTGTGTCCTGGCTCTCGTCACAAGCTGGACAGAACCCTGACAGGAGATGAGGGTAGTCTGCTCATAGGGATCTGTGAGGGTGGAGAGGGGCAGGAGCAGGAGCAGGGAGGATGTCTATTACCTTTTGGACTTGAAGGCATTAACCTGCCCTTGACAATATATGCTGTTTAAGTTAGATAGCAACGGGTTAAGAAGGTAGAAAGCACTAGACTGACTTCTGTCTGGCTCAGTTCTCATTCTGATTCTGCCACTAATTACCCATGTGATCTGTAGCAAGTGGTTTCCACTCAAAAGGCAGGAATGGAATGGGCAGATCTCTGACATCCATTTTAGCATCCCTGCCCCCACTTTAGAGTTCCTCAAAATATCCCCAATCAGGGATGGGGACAGCAAGGCTGATCCTCCTTCAGGCACAATGAGAATCACACCTGGTACTAGATGGAAGCAGAGTAAGGGAGATAGGATGGATCACATCCCCATCGTGCCTAGTACAGAGTATGTCCCTGGATTGAAGTCAGTAGGTAAACAACGAAAGGTGTGAACATATGACCTCACTCATCTCATGCCTCTTCTTCCTTTGCAGTGGGCTCTGACCCTCCTACCTCCTGCTGCTTCTCCTATGTCAGCCAACAGATCCCCAGAAAATTTGTGACGGACTATTATCAGACCAGCAGCCTGTGTTCCCAGCCAGCTGTGGTGTGAGTATCTACCCACTGAATCTCTTGAGGGGATATAGGGAGAGTAGACGGCAAGAGAAAATGGGGCTATTTGGCAACTTGGTGAAATGGATGAGTCAGGCCACTCATACGAAGTCCTGGTTACAAGGGAAAGAAGTCCCACAAGTGGTCCCTGGCCAAAATTCGATTTTCCATGGAGCATTTGTAAGCTGCTCACTCAAAGGGGGAGAGAGAAATAGAAGCAACAGGGATTTTATGTCAATATGAGGCTTTGTAAGAGACTGCCCACTGGATAGGTCTCTAGAGAGAAGCAAAATGACTTAGAAGGGCTTGGGAGATTTTGCCAGAGGTGAGGATTGTTCTCATGGCCCTCTAAAGGTGTAGAAGAAGAGGTCAGTGCTGGACTTAGGTAGAACACAGAGAAACATTTCTCTCTGTGACCTCTCATCTCTTCTCTCCCTCTCCAGCTTCCAGACCAAAAGAGGCCGGCAGGTGTGTGCCAACCCCAGTGATGCCTGGGTTCAGAGCTATGTGGAAGACCTGGAGCTGAACTAAGGGGCTCAGGGGCCTTGGATGGTGATTCTTAAAGGGAAATGGACCAAGCTGTGGAATTCCACAGTCAGATGCAATCTCCCCAAACTCCAACCTGCTGGATATCCTCTCAACTGTTATATTTCATTCTTATCTGTGAGATTTATTTATGTAAATTATTTGGTGACAACTTTGTTTATTTATTAATACTTTCGTTTCACTTTTGGAAGACACCTGTCCCCCATGGGGACCTTTCTTAGCAGCTTAGCCTTTGTGTCTTTGAGTTGTGAGGTCACTTGCTAGATTCCCTGAACATCTGTTGGACAAAGATTCAGAATAAAACTTTCTAAAACTTTAACTTTTTGCTGTGGTTTCAATATTCTATGGGGAAGTGGAATTTAGGAGATCAAGTTCTGTCATGATCATACCAGATGGGTGTGGCATTTTTAGACAACAGCATTTCTTTAATAACTCTGAGGGTTCAGTGGTACTGTCATCTCCTTTTGAGTCAGCGGGTTGATGGCAAAGCCAAAAATCAAATCTTCTTCTGTGCCGAGAAGCAAGCTTGCAGAAATAGAGAAGTAACAGCCCCAACATTCTTTGGTCTTTCAGATCAAATATGAAGCCTTGTGGTTCTTTTTTGGAATCCATACTGTAAGCAGAACATTGGGAAGCTGGAGAATGTCTAGAGTAGACTCTAGACTGTAGAAGAAGAAAACTGAGCATGGGAAGCCCCGTGGGGATGAGTTGTGGGGAGAAGAGAAGAGCCAATGTAGACATGATTTCTGTCTTCACGTGTTGGAAGTTCTGTCCTGTGGGGGCACATAGATTTGCGCTCTTTGTGCTCCAAGGACAGAATCTGAGGTTATAGCCAGTATTTGTAAGGAACTAAATGTAGGGCTGACATTGGGAAAAACTTCTTAACAATCACAGCCGTCCAAGTCGTAATGGACTACCTCAAGTTGTGGTGGGTTCCCTTGGAGGTCTTTAAACAGAAACTAGGTGATCACCCACAGAGGGTGTGACAGTCACCTTTTGGACTACGCGATTATGATCTCTCCCAAAACTCAAATTCTGTCATTCTGTGATATTGTCAGGGTATAGGCAGAAAATGCTTTTACTTGGAGTCAGAGTATCAGGGTTCAAATCCTGGCTTCATTCCCTGTGTGACCATGGGCAAGTCACCTACTCACTCTGAGTCTCTAGATGGATTCAGTTTAGCAGCAACCTAAAAATCATTTTTGTTATTGGAGGAGAAACCTAGAGCAAACTGGCCGATTTGGATTTCAAATCACAACGTCTGAGTCCTTATCCTAGCTCTAGATTAAAAAAAAAAAGCTTACTAGCTGTGTGACCCTGGGCAAGTCACTTAACCCCAATTGCCTAAAAGAAAAGTAAGCTAAGGCATATATGTTCAATGTTTCTGGATTTTTGGTAAGGTTAGACTGAAGATTAAGAAAATTAATCAAGTCACCCCACCCTAATTAAAGTGACTGATAGCCTGCTGTCTGGTCTCCTTGTCTCAAGTTTCCCCTATCTTTCTGACTAGATCAGCCCTCTACCCCCATGACATACTACTTGTCCTGGAGGGGAAGAGGACAAGAAATCCACAACATCTGGCCAACTTTGTCATCCTTCTCCTAAAGGACACTCCAAGACTTCAGTCTCATTTGCTCCTGCCCATTTCAGCATGAGCCAGGAGAATGTAGTGAGACTTTGCTGCCTTCTCTCCCTCCGTCCTCTCCCAGACGCTAAAAAGCACTAAGATTTCCGCCAGTCCAAAGCTGACTTCAGATGTTTCTGGAGGATTGGTTTGCTCAAATGTTTAACCCTAATTCCCTGTTTCCTTTAAGGATAGTCTCTCTGTGGCTTTAGTCTTTATTGGGTCCTTACCCAAACTTTGATCTCTCTTGAATCTATGCACTTTAGTTCATGGAGGTCAGTGCAATTGACAGTGGGAGGGTGACTTACGACTCTCAGTACAGAGAGGAGGGAGAAGCCTTGGACATAGAGAAAAGCCACAGGCCAGGCTTATAACAGGACAAGACAGAGTTCTGCAAGCCAAACCAGTGGCCATATGAAAGTGGTTTCCGAACTTACAGAGTAGCTTCTCTCCCAATTCTTTTGATACAAAAAAATTGTCATGATCTTCATAAACTTACATTTCCCCCCTTTTCTATTTTGAACACTAAAATAACACACACACGAACTTTTCAATATGCAGCAAATGGGGAACAAGAGAATATATGAATCTGTGACTTTCAGCAATGTATAGATTTTTAGAAAAGTGTATGCTGAGTTTATCATAATGGTAGGCAAACTCTGCTCCTTGTTGGTGACCCTCTCTGGAATTTCTTCCATTCTTTTTGGTGTCTTTTACAAAGGTTTTCATTGATTCTCTTTTTTTTCCTTCCTTCCTTCCTCCTCTCCTCCTTTCTTCCTTCCTTTTTTCTTCCTTCCTTCCTTCCTTCCTTCCTTCCTTCCTTCCTTCCTTCCTTTCCTTTTTCTTTTCAAAGTTTTTCCTTATTACCATCAAGATCAACTATCAAACCCTCTGTTCCACTTTTAAAGTTCCTCTTAACTTGGCCTCTTCTTCCTTTCCCATTTTTCTCATACTTCAATCACCTCCACACATTCTATCATCTGGTGACGCTGACCTCCTTACTCTTCCTCCCACAATGTGCTAATGTCATTTCCACCTCTTGCTTCTATGCTCTGCGTTTTCCATAGGTGAACCCAACTTGTCACAATTGACTTCCTTCATTTCTCTCTGCCTCCTCTTCCCTATTGTCCTCTTGGATGTGTATGACATATTGTCAGAAGCTCTAGCTGGATGTTTTTGAATAAATCCCTAAAAAATGTACTTTATTTTTTCCCACTGTAATGTAAAGATAGTATTTTCTCCACTAGAGGAGAGGAAACCTAGGGAAGAGTGAATTAATACAAATCTTCATCAAGCCTTGTCATGTATTTGTGTGTCAGGTTTTTAATTTGTTATATGGGTATAATATTACCTGCTAACATGTCACATCCCAGGGTTGTGGTGAGGACCATAAACTAATGTGTATGTAAGTTCCTGAAATGCATGCAGTCCTCCTTGGCATTCCCTCTTGGACTCTGCTGGGCATAGCTGTGTGATTTAGGCAATTCATTCAAAATTTCTATCTTGGTTATCCCTTATGACTGCCTTGAGGCTTACATGAGATAACAGAGGCAGAAGAACATGCTTTTTAAATTGCCAAGGGCTTTAGTGAAGGAATGATTCTTCATTATTCTTTATTGTTTTGTTTGTGTTTTATTGGTGGGTGCTGTTTATGGATAGCATTATAATTTTCCTTGTATGGCCTGTAGAATGAAACAGGTTGTTAAGGAGATGAAATATGATTAAATGATTTTCCTATGAGCATACAGCTAGTAAGTGTCCAAGACAGGGTTCAAACACTGCTATTGGATTTCAATACCAGTATGCTGTCTATTCCACCAGGCTGGGCTGAAATGGTCACTATAATACATGAGAGTAACTCTCTTTGTATCTCTAAGAATTTAAGAGGCTTTTCATGGCTTCAGAAACACTGGAGAAATCCAAAGGATGTGCCTGTACTTTTCTTTTATAGTTTAATCTTATTTCTGTTAACACATTTAAACATCATACATTCCTGAATGTCTCTTACCCAGTGAGTCACCCTTGCAACAAAGATTTTAAAATGAAGGGGAAAAAAGTTCGGCAGAGCTCACCAAAACGTCCACCACATCTGGCAATTTATATAATGGTCAACACTCCAAATCCCCATCTCCACAAATGGACAGCGTTGGTACATTTTCGCAACTCTTCTATGGGGCCAAGGTTAGTTACTCTGTGTGGATGTAGTTTTTGAGCATGTGTAGAATTGGAGAAATGCAGGGGTGGTAGGAACCAGTGAGGTCAATGAGCCTAATCTTCAACCCAGGACAGCAATCTCCTCTACCACATTCATTGGAATTCCATGAGCTTTTATTAAGTAACTACTGTATGCTAAGCACTGTGCTAGGTGTTGAGGTCCCAGAGACAAAAATGAAACAATCACTACCCAGCAGGACTTTGTAGTTCAGTGGAATATAGCTCAATGGAAGGAAACTACATGGAGCTAGAGAAGTAAATTTGAAAATCTATTTACAAAATCAATTCACAGTAATTACAGGGGGTAGAGATAAATTCTATCTATGGGGGCGGGAATCAGGAATAGATTCTTGTATGAGGTAGCATTTGGGAAGAGCCTTGAAGATAGTAAGGATGATACAAAGTGGAGGGAAGGAGAAAGATCCTTCTAGATATGAGGGACGGCTTTCTCAAAGGCCTAGAAGAGAAATATGGAATGGTAGAGGAAACACTGGTGCTTTTGGAGGAGGTGGTCAGATGTAAACTTGAGGAATGTCAACTTCTCAGCTCTGTGCAAGATGGATTGGGGAGATGACAGTTTGGAGAAGGCCAGAGACTGACCCGTTATTCCAGTATCTTGGGAGAGAGGCGAGGAGCGATTAGATTGGTTTGGTGACCATTTAAGTGGAGAAAAGGAAACAGTACAGGAGAATCTGTGAAGGGAAAGTTAATAAGCTTTGACAAATGACTGGATATGGTAACCAGTGTGCCTGGAAAGGATCATTGGACCCCCAAAGGAAAAGTGAAACTGAAAAGGAAGCTGAGTTTAGAAGGATAGATAATAAGCTCTGCTTGGAGTATGTTGGTTTCCAAATGCTAACTGGACCTCCAGTGGAGTGTTCCTCCAGGCAGTTGGTGATGGGGGAGTGAAGCTCAGGAAAGAGATCAGAGGATTTTAAGAACTAAGGAGGGGAGTGAAAGTATTTCAAGGATAAGCATAATGGAGTGATTTGTCCAGGGACACTGTTTGCTTCTAAGTTTCAGAGCCAGGATTTGAACTAAGTTCAACCCTCTAGCCACTATCCTATACTACCTCTTCTGGAGGGGAAAAGGGCAGGAAACCCACAAAATCCATCCTGACTAGTCATGGGAGTGGGATCCCCATTTCTGAATGAAACTCAGCGGAGAAAAGAGAAGTCTTCTTTTGCTTCCTACTGCTAAGGAAGAATCCTAGACCCCAGTCGGGTTTTCTCCCCCCTGTTCCTTCTTGGCTAAGGAGAATGTAGTGACATCTTCTTTCCTTCTCTTTTCCTTTCCTCTCCCAGGGCTCAGACAACACCATTGCTCCTTCCGGTAGAGGTCTGACTAAGACGTTTCTGTGGGTTTGCTGTAACATTTAACCTTTGTTCCCATTCTCTCTGAGGCCCTTCTCTCTGTGCCTTCAGTCCTTCATGTGTCCCTTCCCACCCTCTCTCCAGGTCCCATATGTCTCATTTGGGCATCAGAACACTGAGGATGCGAGAGGGAGAGTGACTTATGACCCTCAGCACAAGGAGGGAGCCATAGAGAAGAGCCACAGTTCAAGCCTATACCAGGACTAGGCAGAGTTTTGTAAGCCAAACCACTGACCATGAGGGGGTGATCCCTAAACTTATGTTGTAGTCTCTCCTAATTTCTTTCATACCAAAAACATTGTCATGACACTTATAGAGTATAAACTGTTTCCTTTTTAATTATGAACATTAAAATATTAATGAATGCTCATATTGGAATACACAAAGAAGTGCAGAAAAGAGGGAGGTGTATGAATATGTGAACTTTTACTGCATACAATTTGGTTACTTTAAAGTATATATTAAGTTTATCACAATGGTAGGCAAACTCCCCTTCTCATTGGCGTCTCCTTCTGTTCTTATTTCTTCTTTGCTCTGTGTGTATGTGTTTTTTAAATTTTTCATTCCTGTGCTTTTGTTTCTTTTTTGGATTTGCACCAGTATCCACTAACTCCCACTGTAGCAGATTAGGTACAGTTAACAAAGCAATCCAAAACACTGGCAATGGCTGAAAATGCCTGTCTCATCTGGTACCTTTAGGCCATCACCTTACTGCCCAAAGAGGGGAAAATGCACTTCATCTTCAGTCTTCTCATGGAATGATATGTCATTTCAGTCATCAGCATTCTCAAGTTGTTCAAAGTTGCTTTCATCTGCAATACTAGAGTCATTGCATCAGTTCTTCTCCTAGTTCCATTTACTTCATCCTGAATCAGAAGCTTGTAAACATACCAAAGAGGATTGGGCAAATTCAAGGACTGGAAGGCGGTTAGACAGAAATCAAGCTTAGACTAGCACCTTATACTATTCAGTACAATATCCTCCAAAGAGACACCAGACCTGGATATGAAAGGTTATATCAGAAACAAACTGGAGGAAAATGGAAGGAGATACCTTTCCTATTACAACTATTTCCAAATTTATCCAATGGCAACATTATCTATTATGTGTACATCTCCATCACCCCTCCATATCTTATTTTGTTGATTTAGAGTGAATTTTATTTTCATTTTGAAAAAGTCATATTCATTAATACAATAATGATATTGTATTAAACATGTCTAATAATTCTAGTCATTATTTCATACCTACACTCCCACTACAGAGTCTCACATTGCTTTCTCCCCCTTAAGAGTGTCCCCCCAAAGTTTATATAACACTGCCTGAAGTCAGAAAGCCCAAGATTGAATCCTGAATCTGTTACTCACTAGATGTTTAAACTTGGACAAGACACTACATAATTATAACAGATAATTTCATAGCAACAGTTGTATGTACAATTCCCCTTATTAGAGTGTTGGTTGTGAGGTTAAAGATCATGTAGCTAGTAAGTTTTGGAGATAGGACTTGACCACAGGTCTTCTTGACTCCAAGCCTAGGGGTTCTATCCACTAAATGTCATTTCCATTTTCTCATAAATAAAATGGAGATAAGAATACCAACCCTACTTACTTCACAAGGTTATTGTGAAGATTAAATAAATAGTCAATGTTAAAAATTTTTGTATCCTCAAAGAGTCATGCAAACATATGCTGTTAATAGCATCATAGAAGAGGGTAGATAAAGGAATGGACCAAGACTCAAAGTCCTCATTGGCTGTTTCTGCTCTGTCCCATTTCCACAAAAATCATCCATGGGGGTCCTGATAAGACCACAGGTAATTCCTCTGTATGGACTTGTCACCTTGAATGGAAAGATGCGGAGTCAGCAGACCTGGGACCATTTCCAGGATCTTCTTCTGACTACCAGCATGACCTTGGACAAGTCACTTCTTTCTGGGCCATGTTTTCTTTAGTTGTAAAATGAAGGTGTTTGATTAGATCAAGAGTTGGGAATCTGCTTCCTCAAGGCCACATATGGCCCTCTGTGTCCTCAAGAGCAGCTCTTTGACCGAATCCAAACTTTGTAGAACAAATCCCCTTAATGAAAGCATTTGTTCTGTAAAACTTGGAATCAGTCAAAAGGCCATACCCAGGGACCTAGAAGGCCACGTGTGGCCTCAAGGCTGCAGATTCCCCAACCCTGGATTAGACCACTATTGACCATTCCAGTTTTGAATCTACAATCCTAAGGTCTGGGCAGTGATGATATCAAAGAAATAGGAAGGTCATGTTGAACACTCCTTCTAATCAATGGTCAACATAACTCTTTCCTATTTGTTTTTGCAATGTTTCATCTGTCTCTGCTGCTATCACAGGTTCACCACTTCCCCCTTAGCACCCTTGCCACTCAGCCACATACAGACTTCTCCTCTCTCCCTCCACCTTCCTCTTTCCTCCATGATGAAATTGCACTGGGGGAGAGAAACTCACTCCTTGACACCAGCCTTACATTTCATGGGCTCATTTTTGAGTTTCCAACTATCACCATGACATCAGCTCTACACAGGAATTTCCACTCTTTTTATGTTGCATCCATCTCTCTGGGTATTCCCAGAAGCCCCTATAAAGAGAGAGGCCAAGCATGAGACAGAGACACAAACCTCCAGAGTCTCTTAGCTTGTGTTCTGCCCCTCCAACATCTCTCCTCTCAGGATCATGAAGGTCTCTGTGGCTGCCCTCTCTATCCTCATGGTCATGTCCTTCAGCTCTCTGGCATCCTCTGCTCCAAGTAAGTGAGCTTTCCTCTGCCCTCTGTGGCTATAGCCAGGTCTTCTGGTCATAGACTGGATAGAACCCTGACAGGAGATAAATGTAGTCTGATCATAGGGATCTGAGGAGGGCAGGGAGGGGAAGGACTGAAAGGGAGGAGCAGGTAGGATTTTTATGTCTTTGGACTTGAAACTATTAAAATGCCCTTGACGGTTTCTGCTGGTTAGCATATAAGATCAGGACAGCACAAGGGGCGCTGGGCTGGGCACTAGTCCAGCTAGGTTGTAGTTCTGGCTCTGACACTAAATACCTTGTGACAAGTGCCTTCCTCTCTAAAAGGCAAGATCTGGAAGGGCTGATCCCTGACATCCGATCCCCTCTAACTCTTTGTGTTTGCTCTGTGGATCTCCTCTGGGAATGGAAATAAGCAGGTCTGATCCTCCTCCATGCACAGAGAATCATGCCTGGTGCTTGAGGAGAGACATGAGAAATGACTTCCTGAGTATGCCTGATGGAAAGTGTGTGCTTGAGTAATGTCAGCACTGGAAGAACATGTACTGTGAATGTGTGGCTGTACAAATTTCAGGCATCTTTTTCCTTTACAGTGAGCTCCAACTCTCCTACTTCCTGCTGCTTCTCGCATGCCAGGCAACAGATTCCCAGAAAATTTGTGACAGATTATTATGAGACCAGCAGCCTGTGTCCCCAGCCAGCTGTGGTGTGAGTATCTACCTACTGAGAATCCTCAGAGGGAACAGGGTGAGATGATAGAGAAAATGAAGACTTTTGGCCATCAGGCAGCTCAGGGGAAACTGTAGTTAAAATAGAGAGTGGTAGCCCATGTGGTCCCATGCCCAAGTCTGGCTCTCCAGGCAGCAAGATGGGAGCAACTCCCTCCAACAGGGTGGGATAAATGGAAGCTATAAGAATTTGAGGCCAAGAAGGAGGCTGAGATAATCTCTCCTGGGGTTGTCTCTAGAAAGAGACAGATGGACTCAATGGACCTGATAGAGGTTTCAGAAGGTGGGAGAGTGGTTCCTTAATGCTTTCCAGAAATCTATGGGAAGTTGGCAAGAGGGGGAGAGACCTTTCCTTCATCTCTAGCTGAAAAGATTCTTGGTCTCTTATCTCCTCTCCTTTCACTCTACAGGTTCAAGACCAAAAAGGGACGGCTAATGTGTGCCAACCCCAGTGATGATTGGGTTCAGAAGTACATGGCTGACCCAGAGCTCAACTGAGGGCCTCACAGGACTAGGACAATGGACCTTAAAGGGAAATGGGCCAAGCTAAGGAATTCCACATTCAGATGCAATCTCCCCAGACCCCAGCCTTCCTGAGATGTTTTTTATCAGTGAAATTTAATTTATGTAAATTATTGGGTGGCAGCTTTGGATATTTATTGGTACTGCTTGCACTTTTGGAGGACATGTGTTCTCCATGGAAACCTCTGTTAGCAGCCAAAACTCAGTTCCTTTGAATCCTGGGGTCATCTGCCAGATTCCATGAACATCTGTTGGACAAAGACTTCAGAATAAAGCTTTTTCAAGCCATGTATTTTCTGTGTGTTTTTATTTTTTTCAGGAGAAATAGGATTGCTAAGGTGGAGTTCCTCTATCATCATGCCAGATGGGGGAGGATTACTCAGACAATATTTGTTCTGAAAGAAAAAAAAAATTGGTGGTTGAAGTATATGACAATCTCAATTTGGCTCAGCACCTTGAATGGCCCCCAAATAGCTAATCTACATTGACAGGCATAGCTTCCAGGAATAAGGATGACCTAATCCCACCATCCTCTGGCCTGGAACACTACGTTCATTTCTGAGCAGCAGAGTTTAAGAAGGACGTTGGGAAGCTGGATGGTGTCCAGAGGAGGGCAATCAGGAAGGAGAAGGCCTAGAGTCCCTGATATGCAAGAAGGAGTTTAAGGATGGTTAGTGAAGAGAGGAACAGATTCATGGAGGTCATTATACTTCTATTCACCTATCTGAAGGGCTATCTGAAAAAAAGGGCTCACACTTGTACTGTTTGTGCCCACAATGGGTAGAAGTGACAAACAGGTAAATAGAGGCTCAATAATAGGAAAAACTTCCTAATAATTAGAGCTGTCCAAAGCTGGAACCAGTTACCTCCAATAGCAATTGGTTCCTCTCCTTGGAGGTCACTAAACAGAGGTTGGGTGACCACCTATAGAAGAAGTTCTAGTAGGGGTTTCTTTCAAGTACATCTTGGACTAGATGGCTCCTGGGGTCCCTTCCAGGTCTAAAATTCTATGATTCTGTGATCTTGTCAGGGAACAGTCAGGAAATAGTATACATGTAAGAGATACGCTAAAGGCACTAGGGAAATTCGCTGTAGGAAAGGGAAAGAGAATGAGGAAAGAGGCTATCAAAATGGGACTTACTTCACATGATGTGACATCAGGAAAGACATGCTGTCTTTGGAGTCAGAATAACTAGGTTCAAATCCCATCTTCACTATCTGAGAGACCATGGACAGTTTAGCTAAGCTGGGCTTCTACATGGATTCAGCATGGTTAGCATTAACCTCACAAGCATTTGTTTTAATGTTGGAGAAATCTATGCTAAATTGGCTAATTTTTATTTGGAATCAGCAGGTATGAATTCTTGTTCTGGCGGTGACACTTATTAGCTTTCAAATGAAATTTTATAAAGACATAGATTTTTATATACTTGCATATACCTTTTTTATAAGGGCGGGCTGTTGATTGAGCAAAACTTATCAAGTGTCCCCACCTCTCTTAAAGTAAGTTATAGGATGCAAACAAGCAAGCAATCCTACACTTAGGGTTCAAAGAGAAAATCCTTGGATGAACAGATAGGAAAAGTGTTTAGATCGGTTGGGGAAACATATTCATGTCTTGTGATTCTCCTATCCAATAGAAGCTCAGAGAGCAGCTCAGAAGAGAAAGTAGAAGTGAAGAGAGAGACAGAGAGGTAGAGACAGAGAGACAGAGAGGGAGAGAGGGAGTGAGAGAAACAGGGAGAGAGAGAATGAGAGACAGAGAAAGAGAGACAGGGAGAGAGAGACAGACAGAGAGAGAGAGACAGACAGACAGAGAGAAACAGAAAAAGAGACAGAGAAAAACAGATAGGGACAGACAGAGACAGAGAGAGATAGAGATAGAGAGACAGAAAGGTAGAGAGACAGGGAGAGACAGAGAGAGGGAGAGAGGGAGGGAGGAAGGGAGAGAGAGGGAGAGAGAGGGAGAGAGACAGAGAGAGACAGAGAAAACCAGAAAAAGAGACAGACAGAGACAGAGAGAGATAGAGATAGAGAGGTAGAGAGAGAGGGATGGAGGGATAGAGAGAGAGAGAGGGAGAGAGAGAGAAAAAACAGAGGAAAAGAGACAGAGAGAAAGACACAGACAGAGAGAAACAGACATAGAGAGCTAGAGGGAGTCAGACAGACAGACAGACTGATCCAAAGAAACAGAGAGAGAAAAGAGTGTTGAAGAGTATGAAATACCAGATGGTTTTATAAGTGATTTTAGAAGCAACAGACCTTGAACTGCTCCAAATAGTCTGTTAAGTATATGTTAAACTTATCACAATAGTAAATAAATTCCCTTGCTTGTCTGGATCCCCTTTTGCACTTTCTTCTTTTTTCTTTCTTCTATCTTTCATGTATTTAATTTTTTTTACATTGATGCTCTTTTTCTTTTTTTGCATCATTATTACTACCGACCAATCTCTCTTCTTTGCCCCAAAAGAAACCTTCCCAGTGTAACAAATAAGTATCATTAAACAAAACAAATAAAAACATCAGCCATGGCTGAAAGTGTTTGCCCCTTTCCCGTCCTCTCTAGTCTCCGTCCTCTCCGGCAAAGGTAGGAAGCAAGGTTGTCATCAGTCTTCTGAATAGTGTAACTAATCTTCCCACTGATCAGCATTCTGAATTATTTCAAAATTGCTTCCTTCCACATTATTGCTGTTACTGTCTAAATTCTTCTCCTGTCTTCTTTTCACTTAACTCTGAGACAGAAGCATGCAAAAAGGACAGCATAGACTTTGGTAAACCCAAGGACATCATCTTATTAGGGTAAGGATTCTCTTCAACCAAACTACTGGGAAAACCAGAAAAGTCTGGGAAAAAAATAGATTTAGACCAAGATCTCACAGTATATACTTCAAGATACAATTTCCTCATGAATAAAATGGGGATCACTATAATAACTCTGCCTGCCTCCCAAGCCAAGAAGATTCACCATGCTCAATTGAACTCCGTTAGATGCAATGAGGCGGGGCAGCTAGGTGGTACAATGGTTAGAGAGTTGGCCCTGGGTCAGGAGGTCCTGATTTCAAATCCAGCCTCAGACTTTTAGCAGCTGTGTGACCCTGGGCAAGTCACTTAATCCCACTTGCCTCTTTAAAAAAAAGATGAAATAATGTCAAAGTTCTCTGTGACTTTAAAATGTTATACAAATGCATGCTGCTAATATCATCATATAAGAAGCTAGATAGAGCAATAGGCCAGGACCTCAGAGTCCTCATTCCCTATTTCTGCTTATGACCACCATTTGCAATTAACTCTTTCACAGTTCCCCTGGTAAAACCTGGAGTCTGTGAATTTAAAGTATATTTATATCCTATCACATAGTGTCTGGGTATCTGTTGGCTGACATAGGAGAAGCAGTAGGTAGTGGGAGTACAGCTATCTACCTCTGTCTATATACATACATACATACATACACATATACATATGCATGCATACATACATACACATATATGTATGTGTGTGTGTATATATATGTATATAACTTGTGATATGAGTGGGACTAAACTGCTCCACATCATTTTAGCCTCGTTACTTTAGATGAAATCATGTCTCAATCCATCAGTCACATATTGGCCCTAGACTGGGTGCTCAATGTCTTTGAACTGGAATGACCTTACACATGAATCATGTTAGGATAGGTCAAGGAAACTTAGCCTCAGCCCAGGGATCACCTATGAATTATCAAGTGAGTTGGGACAGAGACATTCCAGAAATTGGGACAAGTATGGTTTTCCAGCATACCCCTGCTATTCAGGGGGCAATGCCTAAGGAGAGAGCTTGGCTTCAACTTTGGCCAGGTCTTTTTACTGCTCCTACCCCACATCCCTGATTTGGCTGGGTGAATACACATGCTTGCATGTACTGGTAGGTTATACCATGTATTTGTGTAATGGTTCTGGAAGATTTTGGCCTCTCTATCATTCCATTATTTCCTATCAATGTCCCTGTCACTGTCTATATCACAAGCCAAGAAGGTTCATCATGCTTAATTGAACTCCATAAACACTCCATGAATGGGAGAAAAGAACTTTCCAGCAATCAGAAAATGTGATTTATACCTTTGTCACAAGAAAACTCTCAATCGCCAAGTTTTCTAATCATGTCCACACTCTCTGAGCTTGAGCCCACCTTCCCCTGGACTCTGGATGTCCTTGAGGGAGTGTATGTCATAGACTTTTGATAGGAAGTCTTGTACTGACTGTTTTTACAAACACTTCTTTGTAAAAGTTCCTTAAATCTGGATGATTCAATTGATTCTCAACTGATAATCTTAGAAGGAAACCAACTAGTGGGAGCTCCAGTTTATGGAATTAGAGAATAACCTCCAAACCCTCAGAAGCAGCTCTAGTAAGCAAAGGGAAGTGGGGAATATATGTAGCCAAGTTCTGGGGACTCAATTTATCAGTGGGATTGCGTGTTGGCATAAAGATCCATAGGGCTCACATAGGCTCTAGGTGATGAGATGTTTGGGCTAGGTGATCACCAAGGGCCCTACCAGGTCTCAATCTACAACCTTGTGATCTAGCCAGGGAAAGCCATATGTCAGTATGGCGTTCATTCAGAATGCTCCCTTCAAATTGATGGTTAACATTATTAGCCCTTCTGTTTGGTTTTGCTTCTCTCTGCTGTCTCAAGCTCACCACTTCCCCCCTGAGCACCATTTTCCCCTCCCCCACACACAATTCTCTCTTCATCCCTTCTCCCCTTACACTCACCATGATAAAACTGCACTGAGGAAGAAAATCTTAGCTGACTTTGCTGACTTTGATACTAACTTTGCATTTCAGTTCCCAAACTCTCACCATGACATCATCTTTTTCTTTGAAATTCCACTCATTTTTGGCTGATTCCGTCTTTTCATGTACTCCTAGAAACCCCTATAAAAGAGGGCCCAAACATAAGACAGACACACAGACCTCCAGAGGCTCCTAGCTTGTGCTCGGCTCCTCCAAGCCTTCTCTCCTTTCAGGATCATGAAGGTCTCTGTGGCTGCCCTCTCCATCCTCATGGTCATGGCCTTCAGCTCTCCAGCAAACTCTGTAATAAGTAAGTGAGCTTCCTCCAGCCCTCTATGGCTGTGCCCAGGCTCTGGTCATGAGCTGGATAGAACCCTAGCCAGGGACAATCCTAGTATGATCATAGGGATCTGATGAGGGTGTGGAGGGGGAGGACTGGAAAGGAGGATGTAGGAACAAGGAGGCTTTCTATGAATTTTGGACTTAAAAGCATTAATATGCCCTTGGCAGCCTATGCTGGTTAACATGTAAGTTCAAGGCAGGAGAAGAAAGCAGAAAGGACACTAGTCTGGGTTCTAGTCCAACCAGGTTCTAGTTCTGGCTTTGACAGTAAATACCCATGGGATCTCCAGCAAGTGGATTCCTCTCTAAAAGAGAGGAATAAGATGGGTAGATCTCTGACATTCCCTCTAGGTCTCATTTTTCAGGTTTTCCCCATAAGGCAGAAAATAGCAGGTCTGACTCTCCTCCAGGCACAATGAGAATCATACCTGGTACTGGAAAGAACCAGGGTAGGGAGACATGAAGAATCCCATCTCCAGTGTGCCTGATGGAAAACATGTTCCTGAGGTAATGTCAGCACTGAAAGAATGTGTAGTGTGAATGTGTGGCTGCACGAATTTCAGGCATCTCTTTCCTTTACAGTGAGCTCCAGCTCTCCTGTCCCCTGCTGCACCTCTCATGCGATGAAAAAGATCCCCAGAAAATTTGTGATAGACTATTATGAGACCAGCAGCCTGTGTCCCCAGCCAGCTGTGGTGTGAGTATCTACCTACTGAGAATCCTCAGAGGGGTGAGATGATAGAGAAAATGAAGACTTTGGGCCATCAGGCAGCTCAGGGGAAACTGTAGATAAAAGAGAGAGTGGTAGCCCATGTGGTTCCATGCCCAAGTCTGGCTCTCCAGGCAGCAAGATGGGAGCAACTCCCTCCAACAGGGTGGGATAAATGGAAGCTATAAGAATTTGAGGCCAAGAAGGAGGCTGAGATAATCTCTCCTGGGGTTGTCTCTAGAAAGAGACAGATGGACTCAATGGACCTGATAGAGGTTTCAGAAGGTGGGAGAGTGGTTCCTTAATGCTTTCCAGAAATCTATGGGAAGTTGGCAAGAGGGGGAGAGACCTTTCCTTCATCTCTAGCTGAAAAGATTCTTGGTCTCTTATCTCCTCTCCTTTCACTCTACAGGTTCAAGACCAAAAAGGGACGGCTAATGTGTGCCAACCCCAGTGATGATTGGGTTCAGAAGTACGTGGATGACCTGCAGCGGCTGAGGGCCTCACAGGCCTAGGACGATGAATCTTAAAAATGCTTTAAACTCATAAATAAAACCAAAAGCTGGTTTTATGAGGGAAAAAACAACAAAATGGATCCAAATTACCAGTATCAAAAATGAAAAGGGTGAATGCACCACCAAAGAAGACAAAATTAAAACAATATTATTAGGAGCTAGTTTGCCCAATTATATGTTGATAAATCTGACAATCTAAGTGAAATAGATTAATATTTGCAAAAATATACATTTTATTAATCTCTCCTTTGATTTTCATTTTGGTGTTTAATTAGAGATTTTAAATTCGTTCCTTTTCTAGCTTTTTAAATTGCATGCCCAATTTACTGATCTGCTCTTTCTCTATTGATTTAAGCATTTAGAGATTTAAATTTTCCCCTAAGTACTGCTTTGGCTGCATCCCACAAATTTTGTTGTTTTCTTATTGTTGTAATTCTCCTTAATGAAATTTTAAATTGTTTCTGTGATTTGTTCTTTGACCCATTCATTCTTTAGGCCAGTTAGTTTTTAATCTGTGTTTCCATGACACTTTATTGAATTTCATTTTTATTGCATTATGGTCTAAAAAGAATGCATTTTATATTTCTGCTTTTCTGCATTTGTTTGTGAGATTGTTATGCCCTAATATATGTGCTCAATTTTTTTTTATTAAGGTGCAATATATAGCTGAGAAAAAGTATATTCCTTTTTATTCCCATTCAGTTTTCTTTGGTGGTCTAATAAATCTGACTGTTTGAAAAATTTTATTCATTTCTTAATTTGTTATTTATTTTATGGTTAGATTTATCTAGTTCTGAGAGGGAAAAGTTGAGGTTCCCCACTAACTTTTCCTTTAAGTATTTGGATGCTATGCATATGTTTAGTATTGGTATTACTTCATTGTCTATGGTACCTTCACGCAAGATGTAGTTTCCCTGCTTATATCTTTTAATTGGGTCTATTTTTCCTTTTGCTTTGTCTAAAATCATGACTGCTACTCCTTTTTTACCTTTTGACTTCAGTTGAAGCATAATAGATTCAGCTCCAGCCCCTTGTTTTCACTCTGTGTGTCTTTCTGTTTCATGTAAACAGCATATTGTTGTATTCTGATTTCTAATCCACTCTACTATCTGCTTCCATTTTATGGGTGAGTTCATCCCATTCACTTTCACAGTTATAATTACTAATTGTGTATTTTCTTCCATCCTATTTCCTCCCCCCTTTCCCCCTACCCCCCATTTATCCTTCTCTCTCTCTTTTTACCCTGTCCCTTCTCAAAAGTCTATTTTGCTTCTGACCACTACCTCCATTAATTTACCTTTCCTGGGGTGATATTTTCTGGGCTTTCAGAGGTTAATAAGGGATGGTGAGAGAGACTTATTTCTTACTTCACCATCTTGGCTCCCAGAGAGTGCCCTCAGCTTAACATCAGCAGCAGTCCTCAGAGGCAGCTGCAACAGTAGCAGCAGGTTTGAGGGTTTTCAGCCCAGACACAGTAAGTGGGTCAGACAAGTGGTCAGAAAGAGATTACAGAGGACCTCAGGCTAGCACTGGGCACAGGACCATATTGTATTGTCCTTATTCTGTCCTATTCTGGGTCTCAGTTCTAGGGCAAGGAGGAGCACTAATGCTTGTGACCACAGGGAGCAGTAGACCTGGTCACAGTTCCAGGGCCAAGAGAAATGCTAGTACTTGTGACTACAGGGAAGCAAGTTCCCTTCCTGGATAAGGACAAGAGCACAGGCCAGGAGAGTAATCATCAGGACTGCAATGACCACACCTCTCCTTAGATCATGCCACCTTGGAAACACCAAAAACTTACAGATCCCAGAACAAAATCTGAAAACTGCAGCTCAAAAAAACCTGAAGCTTGAGACAATGCCCTCTTCACCCTAGGAGCAGAGCCCAGCTTTACCATAAAATAGGTCAAGAAATAGGCTGAGAAAAGAGCAAAAAACAAAGAGAGAGAGAGAGAGAGAGACAGAGAGACAGAGACAGAGACAGAGGGGGAGACAGAGACAGAGGGGGAGAGAGAGAGAGAGAGACAGAGAGGCAGGGAGAGAGGGAGAGAGAGAGACAGAGAGAGGGAGACAGGGGGGAGAGAGAGACAGAGGGAGAGAGAGTCAGACAGAGAGACAGAGAGGAAGAGAGAGAGAGGAAGAGAGAAAGAGAGAGAGAGAGAGAGAGAGAGAGAGAGAGAGAGAGAGAGAGAGAGAGAGAACCTGAACATAGAAATCTATTATGAGTGACAAGGAAGATCAAGACACAAACCCAGAAAAGAAGACAATGTCAAAACAGCTACAAGCAAAGCCTCAAAAAGGTGAATTGTACAGAAGCCCAACAAGAATTCTTGGAATAAGAAGAGCTTTAAAAGGATTTTTAAAACCAAATAAGAGAGATAGAGGAAAAATTGGGAAAAGAAATGAGAGAATTATGAAAGTAGAGTCAACACCTTGGTAAAAAGAGACAAAAAAAATACTGAATAAAATAACACTTTGAAAAACAGAATTAGCCAAATGGCAAAAGGGATAAAAAAAAAATTTTTTTTCACTGAAGAGAACTCATGAATGTTGGAACACTGAGTCTTGTCTCTTACCCATTATATTACTTTCTGTACCCCAGTTCAACAATGCTTCCTACTCTATTGTGTTGTTTGGCATACTGTTATAACATCTAGAATAGTTCTTGTTATTCTGCTGTTTGATGCACTCACTGTATTAAAGCAGAACAATGAGAACTCCATATTTTGGACCTACTAGAGCAATCAGTCATGCTTCTTGTTATCAGATGCAAAATCAAGATACTAGAATGAATAGATATAGAGCATGCTTCAAACAATTGGATTTGGAAGTACAAAGGGGGGAATTACTGAAGCATATTATGTTTCTCCTTTTTATTTTAATTAAAATATTAATAAAAGGAGCCAAGATGGCAGAGTAGAGACAAGAATTCATCAGAACTCTCCCAACATTCCTTTCCAAACAAGTTTAAAATAACACTTCAAATCAAATTCTGGAGTGATAGTTCAAACAAAAGTTCATGATGAGACACTTTTCTAGCTTAAAACAACTTGGGAGGTCATCAAGACATGTTTATGACACCAAGGTGGGGGCAGATCAGTAGCAGCCTGGAGTGCCCTCAGTTTACAGGTAATTTTTGTCCTTCCTTTTCCAAGCTATCTACTCTCTCTTGCATACCTCTCATTTCTTTTCCCTATTTTTCTTCTACCTCTCTTATTTGACTTTTAAAATCCTTCTTGAGCTCTTCCAAGAAGGCTTTTTTGTCTTCAGACCAGTTCATACTCCCTTTTGAGATTTCAGATGTGAGTTTGTTGACAATGTTGTCCTCTTCTGAATTTTTGCCTTGATCTTCACTGTCCCCATAATAGGAATCTATGGTACATTTCTTTTGCTCAGGGTGTTTCCTTATTTCCTGGCCTTTTAAAAAAATTGAGCTCTCCTGCTGGGAATCAAGGGGCACTGACCCAAGCTTCTTGTGCTGGGAGCCCGGGGCCTGCTTACTGGCTTTGTGAGTTGGGCCCTCAGATGCTGGCAGTTGGAGGCTGAAGGGTTCTGGCAGCTTGCCTGGTGTTGGCCTGGAATCAACAACACTGGAACTCTAGGGGTAGGGATGAGAATCTGGCCCCTGGAGCTTGCCTGCTCACCTGGGGCTTTCGCTTTCTTTGGCTCCTTGCAGATGGATGTTTTGCTGCTGCAGAATGTCTCTCTGCCCAGGGCTTTGCCCCTTGGAGCTGTACTTCCCAGAATATTGCTGAGGCACTGGGAGACTTGGTTGAAGGAGAACACCATGGTACGAGGTGGTTTTCCAAGCCAGTTTCCACTTGTTCCCTTGCCCGTACTGAGGCAGTAGGGGGTCCTGGTGTTGGTGTTTCTCCCCCTGCTGAGGTGGGGCTCTCCACTAGCATGCTAAGACCTCTCCCATTGTGTACTGCTCTCCCTCCCCCAGGGAGGGCCTTTGCTGTTAATCCCTCAAGCTTCCTGGGCTACAGCACTGCTGCACCTTCTGAATTTAAAGATTGATTCTTTTAATACAGACATAGCTCTCTTTTGTAAATACACTGTTTAATCTAACAAATCTTACCAAGTAATATCCTCATCTCGAGTCTGTTTCCATCAATCCAAACCTCATCCCTACACCAATGACTCCCAAATCTGTACATAAATCCCTCATCCATCTTCCTAATTCCAGTTATGGCTCTTCACCTGCCTGCTGAACATCTCCATGTGCATGTCCTATTGGTATCTCAAACTCAACATGTTTAAAACAGAACTCATTATTTCTCCCTAAATTCTGCCTTCCCCTGAACTTTTCTTCTTCTGTTAAATGGCCCTTCTTCCTTCCTGTTAGCCAGGTTTGTAACCTCAGAGTTACCTGTGACTCTTTCCCCTTCCTCACCCCTATATCCAATCAGTTCTAAGTCTTGTTGGTTCTTCCTCCATAACACCTTTGGTGTCCACTCCCTTCACTCTACCTACACAGTCAACACTCTAGCTCAGGCTTTTCTCAATTCTACCTTCATTTCTGTAACAGACTTCTAACATTTCTCTTTCTCCAGTTTCCGTCCTCTTTAATTATTCTGCACAGAAGCAAAAATAACCTTCCTAAAGTACTGGTCTAACCATGTTGCTCCCTTGCTCAAAAACTTGAATGACTCCTTTTGTCCCTAAGATAAAATAAAAGCTCCTTAGTGTGGTATTTAAGGCTTTCCACAATCTGATTCCTGCCTATCTATCCAGTCTTATTTTTGAATATATGAATGAATAGCTATACTAATTAATTTAGAAGTATTTATTATACCCCTACTAGGTGCACAGCACTGTGCTAAGTGCTGGGGATGCGGAGTGGTGACAGTCTCAGTTCTCCAGCAGCTCATGCTCTAGTATGGAGAGAAAACACATAGGTTTCAGCTGCAAGTCAGGTGTCAATGTCCCAGAATCTTTAGAAAAAGCAGATGACAATTTCTCTTCTTACTGTCACTTCCACTAACATAATCCTATCAGCATCTGATATTGAACTGCTTGACTGTACCAAGGACATAAGTGGCTAGAACTCACTGTCCTGGGTCAACACTAGTCATGGCTATTACAGAAGCAGTGCTGAGCTGCATCTCTATCGTAGTTCCTTACTGGGATAAGGGCTGTGGAGGCTGAGCTGGAAGCAGGATCAGTGGTCTGGAGGCTGATGTCACTCCCAGGGTTACAGGGTTTTCCTGCCCACCGGTGTTAATAGATTTTTATATAGTACTCCTAGCCACTCTATCAATAAGATGCTCCATCTCTTGGCTTTGGGTATTCCCCACATGGCTGGAATTCTCTTCCTCCTCTGCTCCAACTATTGACCTCTCTGGCTTCCTTAAATCCCAACTAAAATCCCACTTCCTACAGGAAGCCTTTCCCAACCCCTTTTAATTCCAGTGCCTTCCCTCTGTTAATTATTTCCTATTTATCCTGTGTACAGTTTTTTTTTGGGGGGGGTGTATGATTGCATGTTATCTCTTCCATTAGATTGTAAGCTCCTTGAAAGCATCTCACCCCAGTTCCATGTAATTAACAGACAGATTAGGTTTTATAAAGGAATATTTATTTCAAAGGTATAATAAAAATTAACTTCCCTCCAAATACCTGGGGGTCATAATCTTCCCTATACTACTTCAATCTCTGGGGATGGGAGGGGAAGGAAAGGGAATCAGGTTTACAGCTCAGTTCCTACGTACCCATAGTCCCACGAAGTGCCAAGGCAACTCCTTCCCTTTTTCTGGGACCCTGGCCTCATAGGACTTCACTGCTGGGCTGGTTGCAATATCTGCCTTGGAATCCTGGGTTTCTAGGTCCTCATGGCTGGAGTTACCATGTCTGGGACTCCACTCCCTGCACCTAGAACTGAAAAAAGACAAATAAGACAATGCCAAAGACCCAAGTTTGTTTCTTGGGGCCACATGGCCTGAGGAAGTGGGGGGAGAGAGAGAGAGAGAGAGAAGAGAGAGAGAGAGAGAGAGAGAGAGAGAGAGAGAGAGAGAGAGAGAGAGAGAGAGAGAGAGGAGGGGCTGTTCCCAATCCCTCACAGGTCAATGCAGAATGTCTGCATGTGTTCTAGTCTGGCTGATTCCCAGAAGAAGATCTCCAGAGTTTCCCATGTGGGTCCCCCAATCTTAGGTTATCTGGGTATGTGCCAAATTCCCTGGTACCCACTGAATAGATGTAAAGTAATCTGAGAGGGGAAGGCACTAGAAGCTGGGGAGACTAGAACAGGCCTCCTGCAGAAGTGGGAATGTGAACTGGTCTTGAAGAACGCCGAGAGGCAGAGGGGAGGAGGGAAAGGATGCCAGGCATGGGGGACAGCCAGAGCAGAGGCAGAAAGATGGGATAGTGCTGTGTATGAGAAACAGCAAGGGGACCAATGTCACTATACCACAGAGTATGTGCAAGGGAGTAAAGAAGACTGGAGAGGTAGGAAGGGGCCAGGCTGTAAAGAGTTATAAATGCAAAATAGCACATTTTACGTTTGATTTCCAAGGTAATAGGGAGCCGCTGTGGTTTGTTGAGGTTAGTGAGGGAGGTAACATCTTTCCAAGCTCCATTCAGTCTCCTCCTCACCCCATGAAATCTTCCTTGACCCCTCCAATCATTTGTGTTTTTCTCTCTCCTCCTTTTCTCTCCTTTTTCTTTTTGTATCCTAGTTACCTTTGTAAATGAGGGGTTTTTCATCTGGGGTCCACATGCCTCAATAGATAGATATCAGGGGTCCATGAACTTGGATGGGAAAAAAAAAATCACATCTTTATTTTCACCAACCTGTAACTGAAAATTTGCATTTCCTTCAATCATTTAAAAACATTCTTCTGAAAAGGGATCCATAGACTTACTAGCCTGCCAGAGAGGTCAATGACATTAAAATGATTAAGAACCCATAGTGTAAATATTGCCGCCCTCCAATGGAATATCAACTCCTCTAGGGCAGTAACTGTGCACACAGCAGCTTTGTCTCTGGGTTGGTTTTTTTTTTTTCAGACCAGACTTGGGACTTCATTAGTATAGGGAATTCCCAGTGACTAACTGCCCTACCAGTGTGGATGAGCACCTTCTCTGCAACTTTACAGTCTTAAAGTCTTAACCTCTGTTTGCCTCAGTTTCCTCAGCTGTAAAATGGGAATAATAATAGCACCTATCTTGCAGGGTTGTGATAATCAAATGAGACAATATTTGTAAAAAGCACTTAGCACAGAACCTGGCACATAATAAACACTACATAAATGCTCATTCCCTCCCCCTTAGAGAGTTGCCTTGAGCAGAGGTATCCAACATGTGACTCATGAACCACATGTGGCCCACAACATTCCCAGAGTGTGCCCCAAGCCAGATTAAAATGTAATTGCTATATGGTTTTAATGTTTATTTAATGTGTTTGTGTATTAATAAAAATATAAAAACCTACATGAATTTCTAAGTCATTATGCTTCCTATAAGAAGTCTTTCCATGTGGCTTATTGACCCTCATTTCTTTTTGACTTTGACACCAATGAGTGAGAGGTAAAGAGATTTGTCCCCTAGAGTCACAAAGCCGGCATGTGAAGAGGGAGGATTCTGAGGCCATTGTCTTAGGCATGTCACCACCCTGCTTCTCAAAAGTGCCCTCTTCCCTCACCTCCCACTTGTAGATGCCTATCAGGCACCTAAAAAAAGCATTTTAAAGACAACTGAATGATGAAGCAATTTGGGACTTCACCAGTTGCACAATTTCTGAGAGTTTATACTTTGCTTTTCCGTTGAGAAAACTTCCTTGTGGTTCATCACAGCCATTATCAGAGTATTAATGCCACCTCCCTGAGTAGCCCAATAAGAGGCTTCTTTAGGTTTCTGGGTAGAAGTGTGACATTTCCACAAGCTCCTCTCATCCTTTGGTGTGAAGATGTCTCTGATGCAAGGTTTATGTTTGCTTAACTAGAACAGGAAACAGTAGTTTGTGTCCCAAGTTTACGCAGCCCAGCCCTGTTCAACTGACCTCCTTTTCTTGCTAGGGACACAACCTGTCTCTATCCTGAAAAGCCAGAGCAGGACCCAGGGACAGACCTAGGGGTGCCTTCTGCTGTGGGCTGTCTGTTCTCCAGATTATTGGAGTTTCCAGCATGAGGGACTTTCCAGATAAGAGGGAGAATAAGGCTAGAAATATAGGCCGGAACCAGATTGCAAAGAAAGGGCTTTTAATGTCAAACACAGGAGTCTGTATCACTTTGATTTTCCTAAAGCACAAATCTGACTATGACATCTTCTCGATAAACTCCAGCAACTCTCTATTACCTGGAGTAGCAAACACGAGCTACTGTGTTTGACATTTAAAGCCCTTTTTTTACAACCTGGTCCCAACCTACATTTCTAGCTTCTAACCCCCTTTTATTGGCCATTTTGCAGATCATCGCACACAACATTCCATCTCTATGCTTTGCGCAGGGATGCATTCTTGCCTCACTTTTGCCTCTTAGAATCTTGAATTTCATTCAAAGTTCATTTTCACTGTCACCACCTCCATAAGACTTTCCCATATCCCCCCAATTGCTAGCCCTTTCCTCTCTTCAAATGACCTGGTACTTATTTTGTGTGTTGTGTGTGTGTGTGTGTGCGTGTGTGTGCGCGTGTATGTATGTGTACACATGTATTTTTATATTATATACATGCATGTGTATAAACACACACACATTTTTATACTACATACATATATGTGTATATATTGGCATATATATGCATACATATATGTGTGTTATCTCCTTTTTATATTACATACATATATGTGTATATATACGTGCATATATATGTATATGTATGTATACACACACACACACACACACACACACACATAAGTGTGTTATCTCCTTTTATAGAATATAAGCTCCCTGAGGGCAGAAACTGCTTAATTTTGGTCTTTGCCACTCCAGTGCCTAACACATAGTAGGTGCTTAATAATTTTAAAAAAAGCTTGAGTGAGCACTTGTGAGGACATCTAGTTGGTATGTTTGGGGGGGTTACCAGATACAGATGTCCCCAGGTAGAGGCAACAGACCAGAATGAGATATGCCCACAGAGTGCTCAGGCCAGCCATGTTAGATGGGAGTCTTTGACTCCAAGGCTACATGGCTAATAGGTTTCTGTACATTTGTTCTTGGCTCTGTACCATCCCAGGTAGGGTTCTTTGGTCAGTGTTCTGCCTATGGTACCGTATTTGTGCAATCAGTTCCAGAAGACCGTTCACACCCTTGCATACAATACTCTAGGGTTCTGGTGTAACTTACTATCAGCTTCTTATGCAATCCTGGGAAGCATGTGAACAGACCAAGCATGGAGGAACCCAAAGGCTTGCTACCTCCCCTGCCAAATCCTGTGTGTTCCTGGGGAGTAGTAATGTTGGGCCTCACGACTGGCTCATCCTTATCCAGAAGTGATGATTTCCATGTGGTCTTTGACAACTTGACCAAGATAACAGACCACTCATTACCATCCACGCTACTCATCAGTTCCTTGGAGATTTTCTAAATCCATGGTGTCCCTCTCCCATCTTACCTCCAGCTTAAACCTTGGTTGATTTCATACTTCTGAACTGCACTATTCATTACCTTTCAGGTAAAAATGTACCTGGATACTGCCTATCACCTGGAGTCTGTGGGACAAATAGAATGTAACAGCTTGGTATGGTGGAAAGAGCCCTGGCTAGGGAGGCAGATCTCCTGCTACAGTACACCTCTGCTGCTTCCTACATGTGTGACCTCAGACAAGTCACAGCCTCCCTGGGCTTTAATTTTCTCATCTGTAAAATGAAGTAGGGGTGGGTTGGGTTGGGGTAGACAGCCTCCCTTCCACCTCTAAATCTAGGATTCTGTGACATCTCTGCGTCAAGATGACTAGTTTACACTCCAGAGGAAAATTCTGGTATAACAAGTTGTTTTACTCATCCACCTCAAACACTCCCTTCCAAATCCATTTTGGTTTCCACCCTGGTTTTCTCCCAGATTAGCATCCCATGCTTACCCACTGCCCTGTGGATTCCAATATGATCAGTGAAGGAAGTAATGGCATGGGGACATCTCCAGCTGAAGGGAGTTGGAGAGAGCCGGGAGAGCAGGGCCAGCTGATGAAAGTCTGGGCTAAAAACTTGTACATGCCTGCTGTATAGACCTTCAGTGCTACAAAGGCAAACAGGTGGCATAGAGTATTAACCACTGGACCTGGTGTTGGGAAATCTGAGTTTGAATCTTGCCTCAGATACTTAACTAGCTGTGTGACTGTGCAAGTCACTAAACCTCACGCTGCTCTCACCTTCCCTGTGAAATGGGGTTAATAATAGAACCCATCTTTCAAGGATGTTGTAAGGAAAGATTAGATAGCATATGTAAAGTATTTTATGACTCCCAAAGTGGTATATTAATGTTAATTATTATTATTGTGGCAGTTATGTGGCAAAGTAGATAGAGCGGTGACCCAGGAGTCAGGAAGACATGAGTTCAGATATGGTCTCAGATATCTTCTAACTTGGTGATCCTGAGAAAGTCACTTAATCTTGTTTGCCTCAGTTCCTCATCTATCAAATGAACTGGAGAAGGAAATAAATAAACACTCTAGTATCTTTGCCAAGAAAACTCCAAATGGGGTCACAGAGAGTCAGATATGACTGAAACGACTCAACAAAAACTATTATTATTATTATTATTATTATTATTATTATTACTGATTCAATCTATGTCCTTTTCTAACTCAAATCCTCGACTGTGGCTCTGAAATGAACATCCGAGGTCCCGAACCCCGATTTTGTTTCTGTCCAGATATCTCTAGAATCTTGTTGTGAATTCTGGGGCTTGATCCCACTTCCATCTCTGACAAAACCACCTACTGCTTCTGGCTCTTTCTAACTCACTGACTTGCATTTTGCAACCCGTAAGGCACTCTGTAAAAGCTAGCTGTTGTAACTTGGGATAGGCAACCAGGTGGTGTAGTGGATAGGCCACTGGATCTGGAGTTAGGAAGACCTGAGTTCAAATCTGGCCTCAGACACTTACTAACTGTGTGACCCCGGGTAAATCACTTAACCTTGTTTGCCTCAGTTTCCTCATCTATAAAATGAGATGGAGAAGGAAATGGTGAACCACTCCAGTATCTCTGCCAAGAAAACCCCAAATGGGGTCACGAAGAGTCAGACACAACTGAAATGACTGAACAAGAACAATATTGTGACTTAACCTCTCTGAGGTACAGTGTTCCCACCCATAAAATGGGCATAGTAATATCTATTCCCCAGGGGGGCTGTGAGTCCTAAATGAGATAATGGATGGGAATCACTTCACAAACTTTAAAGGGCCCACTATTGTCATTAACCTTGGGATTATAGGGGTGCATTTTTGGGGTCCCCAGTAACTGCTACCACCTTGATTTCAATTTATTCCCTGACCATGTCCAAGAAGGATATACTCTTAGAATTCCTGGAGAAACATCAGCAAAAGGGGTTCATCCATCCCTCTCCCTATCTTCCAGGAACTGATCCCTCTTTGGAGATTTTGAGAGGGCAAAAGAGGGGTAAACTAAGGCTCTTCTAGGTCCTCCCCACCTTTACAGCACTTAGTGAAGGATTCCCCTTTCTCTCTCATTGCCATTCATTTGGCCTCCCTGGGGACTAGCTGTATTAGCATGTTCTGGATCTTCTGGGAGCTGGAACTTTATTCCAAAGGAGGAGGGGACCGGTGGGTGGCAGGATTGACAAAGAAGAACAAATGGAAAGTGCTTTTTCAGCCAGGTTAGGAGACAATATGGGTCTGCGTGTCGTCTGGGATCTGTAGTTCCCTTATGGCCTCTGAGTGCTTGATGTCTTTGAAGTTTTCAAGACCTACCTTCCAGACTTTGTGTCCAGACTGCCTCAGAGCATGGAGAAATACTAATTAGCTGAATAAGAACTGGAGCAATTGAACAATATACTCGGGGAAGCGTTACCAAAGACAATCAAATGAAAGAACAGCCTGTTCCAAGGGTCCTACAGAGTGTTATTTGTAATTGCAAAAACAAACAAAAACCCCTCACAAAACCACACTTTAGAGCAGCCAAGTGGAGAGGCAGCATGGCACAGCAAATAGAGAAGGTGAAAGGGAAAGGAATGAGCAACTACAGAGTACCTACTATATGCCATGCACTGTGCTAAGTGCTTTTTAGAAATATTCTCTCATTTGATCCTCACAACAACTCTGCAGGGTAGATGTTGTTATTATCTCCATTTGACAGTTAAGGAAACTGAGGCAAAAAGAGGTTAAGTGACTGGCCCAGGGTCACACAGTTAATAAATGGATTTGTATTCAGGTCTTCTTGACTCCAGGCCGAACACTTTATCCACTGCACTACCAGCTGCTTCTAAAAGGGCAGTGGAATTGGGGTCATGAAGACCTGGGTTTAAATCCTGACTCAGAAACTGGGCAAATTGCTTAACCTTGATGGACCTCAGTTTCCTCTTCTGTAAAGTGAGGTTGTTAGATTCACTAGCCTTTAGTGTCTCCTTCAGCTCTAAATCATTGATCCTATGATCATAAATGTCCAACGAGAGAGAAATGGGAAATACATTGAAGAATGTCAACATGATAGAGTTCTATAGCTCAGTCAAGACCAGCAAGTATGAGGAACACAGGGAAATATTGAAAGACCTTTATGAAATAATGTAAAGCTTAAAAAAAAAGCAGAACTAGAAGAACAGAGAAGGAACTACCTACAACCACATGAGAGAGAAAGTGAATGGGAATGGAAGGATGAACAAAGAATTCCAGTGGAAGCAATTAAAAGTCTTGACATTTACAAGTCAAGATCTAGGCATTGAATGTAAATAGCACAACAAATGAAATATTGTGAACTCTACTCCTCTAAATGGAAAATTTGCTTCAATATGCTGAAAGTGCTGTGCATATGTTATCTCAGATTCCTGGGTGGGGGCTATGAAGTGAGAAAGCAGAAAGGTCTTTGACACAAGGACTATAGGCAGAGACATGCTGGTGAATGTTTAACAGCCCAAAATTGTACAGCAAATAAAATTCTTAAAACAAAAACCTTTTTAACCTGAATTTTACTTCCCTCTGTGTCAGATGAGTGTGAGGGCCTTGTTCTGTATATTATACTGCTATAAAGCTTTGAAAGATTTAGTGATTCTGATCAATATAATGATCAACCACAATTCCAAAGGACTTATGATAAAAGATGCTATCTACCTCCAGCCAGAGAGCTGATGGACTTAGACTGCAGATTGAAGCATATTTTCTTTCTTTAGGGGTATGGTAAAGGCAAACACATGGCTCATGCAGGATTTTTTTTTTTTTGCGTGACTATATATATTTGTAATAGTTTTGTTTTTCTTGCCTTTTCAATGGCTGAGGAAGAGGGAGGTGAAGAAAAAGAGAATTGATGCTGAAATCAGGTCTACCACCTATCTGCAGATAAGAACAAGAGTCCCTCCAAGGATTCACTGAAGAACAATACCTTCTTTCCCCTTGCCCTGAAAGTATTAGGGCGATGATCAGAAGGAAGAAGCTTCTTTGATTAGTTCAGTTAATAGAAATGCTCTTGAATTCACCTTTGACTAACTAGAGAGGAGGCCTCTTGAAGGGAATGGTCAAAAAGGGTTTGAATGGTGGCAGAAAAATAATAAGGCTGCTAGGTGGCCCAGTGGATAATGTTGGGCCTGGAGTCAGGAAGACTGATCTTCTTGAGTTTAAATCTGTCCTCTCACACTTACTAGCTGTTTGACCCTGGGCAAGTCACTAAACCCTGTTTGCTTCAGTTTCCTGCAATGAGCTGGAGAAGGAAATGGCAAAACCATTCCAGTATATTTGCCAAGAAAACCCCCAAATGGCATCATGAATAATTAGATATGACTGAACAACAACAAGAAGAAAATTATCTCTTAAGGGTATGTGGAAAATGCTGACTACTGTTCTATTTGATGAAGCAACTTGTTTACTGACCTGTTATTTAAACTCTGGACCCTTGCTCAATCTTAATTGGGAAATAGTCTTCATTCAAGTATCTTGTAAATCGTGATTTCAAAATTATTTGTGTTAGAGAGAAGTTTGAAAACATGGGACATTTCTCTTTCTAAGAAGGAAAATACAAAGAGTAGAAAAATCATCAATTAATAAAAATTCTTTCTGGAAAGCTTGTGCCTAAAATGCAGAGAGTTCTGTTTTTCTTCTTCACAAAGATGACTCATCTCCCCACTGTTATATGACATAGTTCTAGAAATGCTAGCTATAAAATGAGAGAGCCATGTTAAAGGCATAAACAAAGTAAGGAGGAGACAAAATTAGTCCTGTTTGCAGGTGACGTGGTGTTATATTTAGAAATGAAGTCTTGTTCCAAGGAGGAGAAATGCTCCAACAGTGGATGTGGCCGTAGACTTGTTAAAAGCATGGATACACTGGTGATGTGATTTCCCCCTTCTGTTTGGTACCCCCTCCCAGCCTGGGAGCATCCAATGCCTTGTATAATTCTCTGGCTGGAACATCAGAAATGGGAAACTCACCAGATGTGCCTGAGCAGATGAGCCTACCCATAAAATGCATGCAGTAGAACTCAGGCATGGAGTAATATGGATGGATTAAGTGTAGGTGGAAACATCTGCCAGGCTCCTTGATCTTCTTTCTCCCCCTGCTGGCGTTCTGCCTGGCAACTCATCAAGTGACTAAGACCCAGCTGTATCCTTACACTGAACCTCTCTTCCCTTGCCCTTGTGCATGTTTCAAGCCTTTTCTTGTGCGAGTTAACACATGCTTAATAACAACAATAGTAACTGCTTCTATTTCCAGGCCCTCAGGCTTATCTGGCCTTCAGCTAGAGCTGTTCTGCCTAACACTGGAAGTCTAGTCAGCCTTGAGAAGAGGAATCTTATGCCAAAAATGGAAAAAAAAATGTTACTGCACAGAGGATTTCCATCAAGTTCTGTCTCCACACATTCATAAATGGCCTCCCATAGTCTTTAAATTCCCAGATGGAGCTTAGATCAGCCTGTAGTTTGAGTGAGAGGAAGAGAGGAAAAGTAGATTTACAGAATTTATCTAACACCCCATTTTATAGACAAGGAAGCTGAGATACAAAGAGGCGTAGAATGGGAATCATGAGTAGGTATGATGATTTAGTGGACTTCCTTAGTATAGACCAGGGGTGGGAAACCTGCAGCCTTAAGGCCACATATGGCCTAAGGCAACAGGTTCCCCACTCCTGGTATAGACCATGTAGACTCAATCATGCACATCTCTCTACCTGGCTCCATTTGAGTGTGGAAGACAAACTGCTCTGAGCCTGTAGGTAGGGGAGGCCCCTCTCTCACCTGGAGCTGCCATGAAGCTGTAAGCACTCAATACAGCTCTTCTACCCCTGTAGGGGAAGAGAGAGAGAGAGAGAGAGAGAGAGCTTGATTTATTCCCCAGTGCTACAAACTTATCAATAAGCTTCAGCTGAAGTCACAGGTCCCAAGTAACACCTAGCCATTTCAAGGTTGGTGGAAGATCCAGTAACATACCTGCCACTATGAATTCCAGATTTAGAGTGCTGTGGCAACATGGAGAGTGTCCATAATAACAGAAACTAGCACATTGTTCCTGTATGTAGCCCTAGAGTCTAGGGCCTAGACCAATAAATGGTCAATTTTGGCTAAGGGCGGGGGAGGTGTGAGGAACCTGGGGCCTTGAGGCCACATGTGGTCCTCTAGGTCCTCAAGTGTGGCCCCTCAAACTTGGAAGTTTGGATTCAGTCAAAGGGCTATGCTTGAGGACTTAGAGGGCCACATGTGGCCTTGAGACCCCAGTTTCCCCACCAGGAGCTAAGCCCAATCAGCTTCATTGATACAGCTGACATAGTTGATATACATCTAACATCAAACAAAGACAGTATGTTTGTCTGTTCCGGACTCAGCTGCTCAGAACACTGTTGTTCTGGTGAGGGTGTGGTTTTGTCTATTATTTCAGCACAGGAAAAAAAAGAAAAAAAATAGATGCAAATCTCTGTTCTAAGGCCGCAGTTCCTAGAAGCCCTAAGCGCAAGGTGAAAGATTGTGGTTGAGTAATGAGCTAAATAGCTTCCCAAAGAGTCAATTGGTAGCCACATCTGCAAAGCATCTAAGCTTGGGAATGCAAATGAAGGAAACCAGACACAGAGACCAGTGAGGAAACCACCCAGCCCTTTTCATACCAGTGCCTGCCTGTTGTATGAATGGCAGTAGTCCTTGCTGCGATGGTGGGATGAACTACTCAACTTTTTGTATCCTGAGGGTTAGACAATTTCTAATGAAATTGAACTATTGCCAAACTCCTTATTAGCCAAGCAGAAGATATATTCAGACACTTTGGAGCCATGGGGCATCAAAGCCCTCACAATCTCATTCCTCCAGTTTATTATAGGTCACACATTCAAAGGAAAAACATTAATACTGTATGGAACATTTCAGGCATAAGGGTGCCCAGAAACAATTTTTTAAAAATAATTTTTATTATTTGATTAACAACATTAGTCTAAAGCATTTCTTACTCAAAGGAGACAGATGTCCAAACCAGTGAGTCCCTTCATGCCAGTGGACATGTCTCTACCCTAACATACTTCAAGATAACATAAGAATCTTGGAGAAGGAAAAAGCCATCATATTAAAATGGAATTTGGAGGTCAATATTTTTGAACAATAGTCACTTAGTCTTCTACTAAAACTGTTTCCTAGATCACCACCCTGAAGAATTGAAATGGTATCCTCTCTGTGATAGCTTAGCTCTTTCTGACTGCCCTTAGGTTGGTTGTAGCATCAGTCACTTTAGGGGCTGAGGAAGACAATGATCTCAACTGGAAAAGATGTTCCCTTTATTCTAAATCTGATTATAATCCATATTCCCTATCCCAGGACCTTACCCTTTGTTCTTGACTTTTAATATATTTAGTCAATAATAGTCAATAAACATTTATCACCAGGCATTTTCCTAAGGGGAAAAATGTGGGAAGGACTTTAGACTGGAGAAAATATTATTTATTAATATTTCCATTGAACAAAAAAAGAACTTTCTAATATGCTTCCACTTACACATTACTCTGAAGCCTCCTATGGTTCCTAGTCTTGCCCCAAGTTGGAGGGATATCTGAAAGGTAGAGGAGAATCATAGCTCCTCTACTGAGGTAGAGACAATGAGGATTGCAGGGGGGAAAGGCGATGATTCTACTTAGATCTTAGCCCCTAGGTCATCATCGCATTTTTATAACATTTTACAGAGGATTTTCCTCAAAATAGCCTTGTTAGGTTGATAGCACAAGCATTCCATTATTGTCCCCATCTTGCAGATGAGACCTCAGCTAACACAGGCTCAGAGCTTGCTCAAGGCCACATGGGAAAGCCAGAACTTCCCCCAACCCCTAGTGTGCTGTTAAAAAGAAAAGAAAAAACAGGTAGAGGATTTTGAGACAAAGGGACCTGGGTTTGAATTTAATTCTGCCACATTGTACTTGTGTGTCACTCATTCTCTCCGGGCCTCAGTTTCCTCATCTGTAAAATAAGGGATTTGGAGTAGGCCCCTGAGGTTTTTACTTTAAGTGTTCAATTTCTGGACATTTAGTGTAGACCCCCACTCTCTAGTCTTCCCAAATAAGTTTTACTGGTACACTATGCAACCTGGGTCATTTTTACCATTAATGTTTGTTTTTCTTGTTGTCACAACAAAGCTTTAACATCTGCATTTTGTTTCAAGGCTGGGGACAGAAATTCAGGAGGACTCTCAGGTCAGACTAGGAAGATCCAGGCTCTAGTTGTGTTTCCAATTTGCCCACCCAGGCTCAGGGCCAGGTTCTGCTGGATCCAGCTCAAACCAGCTGCAGTGTGATTAGATACACCTTGGAAATGGGTAAACATTGGTGATCAGGTGGTTGCCTGAATGCTTTAAGTTTCACCTCTTTCTTGATGAAGTGGATCTCCTCGAAGTAAGAGAGTTGTGAATCCCCTTGGCTGGATCCCAGGGCACATAGCTCTAGTAGGGCCTAGTTCAGGCCCTTCTCTAGGGTCAAGGCAACTTCCACAGCATCCAGGCTGTGGTCCTTTTCATTAGGGTCAGGTTTCCGTGGAGTCTGGAAGAGAACACAAACCTTCTAAAATGGCAGAACATTATTGATGGAGACTTGAGCCAATGGCAGAGTGTAAAAATCCTCAAACCCCTTCAAGAGTATCAGAAAATCCTGGTGAAGGGATGGAATGTGATATACCTATACTTCAGGCCGTGGAGCATCAGGGCAGTCACCATTGCACAGATAAGATCTTGATTGACAAAAAAGTTATAATTTTAATCACAATTGCTCCAAGCCCCCAATTAGGAAAATTCCTAACACTTAGGTAGAGTTTAAGCTCTCTGCCTGAACTGAATAGTTATATCTGTCTATAGCTAGCCCTTGACTTCTCTTTGTGGTTGAGGCAAAATTCAGGTTACTAAAAAGTTTGGGTAAAAAAAAACAACAGAAGATTATATTATGGTGTTGAGGAATAATCAAACCTTAAAGTGTTAGATAAATGCTAGTTATTATTATTATTATTATGGAAGCTACATGGCACAGTGGATAGAGTACCGGGCCTGGAGCCAGGAAGACTTGAGTTCAAATTTGGCCTCAGACACTTACTAGCTGTGTAACCCTGGGCAAGTCATTTAACCCTGTTTGCCTCAGTTTCCTTATCTATAAAATGAGCTGGAGAAGTAAATGGTAAACCACTCCAGTATCTTTGCCAAGAAAATCTCAAATGGAGTCATGAAGAGTCGGACCCAACTGAAATGACTAAATAACAACAATTATTATTGTTATTAATATTATTTATTATTACTCTATGGCCTTTCCCAGAATATACTCCATTTTATGTGGATTGAATTATCAGTATATTAATTTTTACCTGTGTCCTAACTTGGTCCAGCACTGAGAAAATAGAAAAAGAAAAAACAAAAAGCTACTCCTGGGAAAGAAAATCACTGAGATAATTTCTGGGAGGCCCTGTGCTGGTCAAAATTTTGATGTAGGTGTATTTTCTTGGGTGCCTTCACAGCTTCCTTCTTTGACCTCTCTCCCAATTCCTAGCAACCTTTCTCCAGTTTCGTAGGCATGCATGCCTCTAACTTCTTGTTCAGTTGTTTCAGGTGTCCAACTCTTTGTGACCTAATTTGTGGTTTTCTTGGTAAAGATTCTGGAGTGGTTTGCCACTTCCTCCTCCAGCTCATTTTACAGTTGGGGAAACTGAGGCAAATAGAGTTAAGGGAATTGCCCAGGGTCACCCAGCTAGTAAGTGTCTGAGGTCAGATTTGACCTCCAGTCTTCCTCACTTTGGGCCGGGTGCTCTATCCACTGTGACACCCAGCTGCCCTAGCTTTGTACTACTCACTGGTTAATCAAAGGCTATAATAGCTCATCCGTACCTATCCTGTCTCACACATGACAACTACCTCTTCCTCTACCTCTGCTCTGAATTCCAACCAACCCTCCTATTTCCTCAGAGCAAGCCAACAACTGGGCTAAAAATAAAGGGGCCTAATTAAAACAATCCAAAATCTTTTATCATTCGGTTTTTCTCAACAAGCATGTGTTAATTTAAAGAGCACAATACTACAGTTTGGGAAGAGAGACCCCATTCAGATATCCTCAGGGTACTTTGTGCTCCAGACAAACTGTCTTTTTTGCTACTTCTCACACATGACCTTTTATCTCTGTCTCCCTACCTTTGTCCAGGTTGTCCCCCCATGCCTTCACGCCTCCACCTCTCAGAATCTCTGATTTTCTCTAATCTACAGGAGATTCCCTGCCCCCTCCACCCCCCCCCCAGGCTATGCTTTGCCCTGCTCCAAATACTTGTTACGTATTTTGTACATGTCTTGCATATGTGTACATACACAGCTCACAGGTGTACCTAGAATGGCTTGCTAACATCCTGCAGTACCTTATCACTTCCCCTGAGGGGAAGGCGAGGACCAGGGATAACGTATGTGGCTGGTTCATCCAGTGCTCTCTTCAGATAGAACATAAACCTCCTTGGAGGCCAGGTCCTTTTAATTTTTGTCTTTGAATCCCTAAGGCCCCACACTTAATGCATACCGGAACAAGAGATTCCCATCTCTCAGCTCTGGGCTTCTCCTTAGGTGTCCCCCATGCCTGGAACACCCTGCCCTCTGCCTCAACTACTAACCACTCTGGCTTCCTTTAAGTCTCAACTAAAATCCCACCTGCTCCAGGAATCCTTCCCCAACCCCTCTTAATTCTGGTGACTTGTCTCTGTTAATCATCTCCTATTTCTCCTGTGTATAGTGTGCTTTGTATATATTTATTTGCATATTGTCTTCTCCATTAGATTGTAAACTCCTTGAGGGCAGGGATTGCACCTTCCCCCCTTTTGTGTATCTCCAGCACTTAGCAAAATGCCTGGCACGTAGTGAGCACATGATGAGGTCTGCCTGTCTATCTACCTATCTACCTGTCTATCTACTTATCTACCTGTCTGTCTGTCTATCGATATATCTCTCTAGAAGACTAGATAGGGTAGTGAGTGGCTTGGATTGAGGAGGGCTTCAAGTGCCGGATGGGAATTTGAACTTCATTCTGGAGGCACATAGTGAGTGACACACACATCTCAGATATGATCGATGAGCAAGAAAAAATGATTCTGAACAAGGAGTGTGAAGGGCATCTTCAAATGGGATGAGTATAAGAAGAAACACCTGTTAGAGGAAGTTATTGTGGGAGTCTAAGGCAAGTGAAAACAAGAGCCTTTACTCCCATGGGGTCAGTAGCAATGTAAAGGAGAGAACAGATTTGAGAGACATCAGGAGACAGAACTGACTAAACTTGGTAATTGATTGGATATGAGAAGTAAAGGAGAGGGGGTCATCAAAGACGGTCCAAAATGATGAACACAAGAGATGAGGTGCATGGTGGTGCCCTGGAAAGAATGAGTGATTTCAGAAGGATGACTGGGCTTAGGGGGAATGGCAAAAATGTTGATATAGGTCATGTCCAGTTTGAGATGCTTGAGGGAGCCTGGAGGCAGCTTCAGAGTGAAGGTCTGAAATTCAAGAAGAGGTCAGATTTGGAGACAAAAATTAAGGAATCATCTATACAGGATGATGGCAATAAAATGCAGGACAGACAGAGGATGATAGCTTGAGGGGACAAAAGGGTCAAGTGGAGGGTTTGGTTTTCATTTTTAAGGATAGGGGCGATCTGGCCACATGTACTGGTACACAGTAGGTGGAAGAAGATTAGAGGATTCTACACAGCAAAGGCTCCAAGGCACAGGTAGAAAGGTTGGCCAATAGAAGGGCCACCTCCTGCTCAGAGACTGGAACAAAGAAGTTAAAGGACAATTCAAGATGTAAAAGGAACCCAGAACAAATGGGCCCAGTTTTAGCACTAAGGGTGTGGTCCTTTGCTGATGAAGAGTTGTAAGGTCAGCTTTGGGAGCTTCATTAGAGACGAAAAACTTTGGTAGAGCCACCAGGAGAGATATGAGATGGCCAAGGAGGGAAGGATTCCTGTGCTGCACTGAAGACCCCATCAAGGCTAGATAATATCCAGCAAAGCCATGTAATGTCTTCAAATGACTTTCAGTTGAGGGTGGATGGGGCCTATGATCCAGGGAAGAAGAAAGACTTACCAGGCAAGTAGGGCAAGGAAACAAATGGGTCAAAGGTGGAAGAACTAACTGGTTAACCAAGAATCACTACTTTAAAAAAAAAAGGAAAATAAGATCAAAATGGAGGTGTTAGACTGGGTGAACAGGAAAGGATAGAAGGACTGGAAGTCACAATGAGAATGAAAACTAGGTTCAAGAGTAGTGAAGCAGAAGGAAGAATGAAAAGATAGGAGACTGTGATCAGAGAGAGGAATTTCAAAGTTTTTAACCAGGGAGGTGGTGAAATCTAAAGTATGACCACACCTATGGGTAGTCAAGGTGGAGTAAATCTATGGGTCATGGCAATTGAGGAGGCTGATCATGTGAGAGGTGAAGGTGTCTGGAAATTCTCAACTCTGGGGATTGGGGTGGAAATAAAGGCTGTAAGCCAGGTAAAGAACCCCTTGAAAAAAGATAAGTGACCTATAGGGTCACAGAAACAAGCATCTAGAGAGAGTTTTAAAGATGGACAGAATGTGCTTCAGAGGGTAGGTAGGATCTGGAAATGGCAGTGAGGAAACAAAAGTACATTGACTCTTCCTGGCCCAGTATGATGGATGGGACATGAGAGAAGGAACAAGTTGAAGCTGGAAAGTAAGGTCAGGGATAAAGCATCTCTTGTAAATTTGAAAAAATGGAAAGAGTCCAAAAGGAAGAGATCTAGGATGAGAGTTTGTTAACGAGAGGGCAATGGTCCTAGATGCCAAAGTGAGTTATAGGAACGAAGGGGTAAAAGAGGATAGGCATTTGAGGATGGGCACAGTTGATAAGTAGGAGGTTAAGAGCATATGCAGAGAGGTTCACAGGGTCATTCAGAGCTGGAAGGGACCTCAGAGGTCACCTAACACAACTCCCCATATTTTGCAAATGAGGAAATGAGTCCAAAGAAGTTGAGTCACTTAAAGTCCAGCAAGTATTAACTTGCAGAGACACAATTTGACCCCAGGGACACTGATTCCAAATCTATAACTCTTTCCACTGCCTCATGAGGAGAAAGGTTAACAGACAGTGACCTTGAACCATAGGTATTAGGAAATGCAAGATCATGACAGCTATACTGCCACCTTATTAGCATTATAACTACAGTCAAACACATTATACTTGCCTAATAAATTTATAGGTAGGGCATAACTATAGAGCATAGTTAACTTGAAATGAATTAAATTATAATTGGAGTTCTTGTGCACAAGGAAATGAAAGTTTGCCAGCTACAGCATACTCCAGGGTCCCACGATGATGGAGAGTAGCATTAGGCTAAGGTCCTGGAGCAGAAGCAAATAAATCAGAAGGTAGAGGTCCTCAGGGAAGTTTCATAGATCAGGGAAGGCAGAAGAAGGTCAGGGCATAAGGGATTCTAGAGTAGCAGAATGAAATCCTGTTGACCACAGGATTGACTTTGGTTTCTATGAAGAGAGGACAAGTAATAGTGAGTATGAAGCCTTAATCAAGTTTGTTTTCTCACCTTCAAAAGCACTTGGAGGCATTCAGCATTGGTCTTAGGGAGGGGAATGAAGAGCTAGGAGGGACCTTAGAAAAATCTAGTCCAATGCCTTCATTTTATAGAAGAGGAAAATGAGGTGCAAAGTGGGGGAAGTGACTTGTGCAAGTCATGAATTAGTGGCAGTGGTGGAATTCGAACCCAAGTGCTTTCAACTTCAAATAAAGTTTCTTGCTTCTATAACATGTGGCAAGTCACATAGAAGAGAAATACCTCTCAATCTTCCAGGAGTGTTTACATTTAAAATAGGAGACTTGTCTATCTTATGTCTAGAATTCACTCCTTCCTCACTTCTGTTCATTAGAATCCTGAGCTTCCTTCAAGGCTTAGCTTATGAGATTTCCAGGTCTATCCCTTATTCTCCACCCCCAGTTAGTACTCTCTCCCTCCTAAAATTCCCATGCATAGATTTATCTGCTCATTTGTGGAATGTTAGCCCCTTAAGAGCAGGGACTGTTTGTTTGTTTGTTTGTTTGTTTGTCTATGTACACTTGAAGCCTTGAACTTGGTTGGTGCTGAATACACGCTTTTTGGATTGGGTTAGATCAAAATGGATCAATGCAAAAGAATCTTGTGGAATTTCAAATGATGGGAACAGTGAAGAATTTCAGGTCTTATAGAAGATGTTTGGGGGCAGGTGGGACTGTCCAAATCTAGATCACTGGCCTACTCTCTACCCTATGTTTAACCTTCAGTCTGGGCTGTCATTTACTGCTTAAATGAGTTTCTCTCAGGAGAGCATGAGACAGAAAAAGGAACAGTCAGTAACTTTCTTTGTTCTGCCACTCACTGGCTTCCCTTTTCTTTTTTTCTTTTGGCTGTGCTTCTTGGCTCAAAGAGCTTGCTTTCATCACACTGTATTTACACATGGATCTGGCAACATGAATCATACTTTCCAGAAATGTCAGCCCATTGGGAGGGCCCATCCTTTCAGGTAACTATGCCCTGCCCTGGGCCTGCCTTTTTATGAGGGTCAGCAAGAAGATATAAATACCAGCTCTGCCCTGACTTTCCTGCTATCTGAAGGCTTTGGCATCCAGCATGAAGTTGTCAAGTGGCCTCCTCTTCCTCTTGTTTCTCCTCACCTTCACCATGGACCAGCAAGAAGCTAAAGTGATCAGTAAAAATTCATTCTCAGGTAAGTTAGCAAAAAAGATTCCCTTAAAGAAGGCAACCAGAAAGAAGGAAAATGGAAGCCCAAGACAGGGAATCCGAAGACAGCTTACACATGGAGTCACCAGGGATTTGTTCTGTGAAGTCTGGATTTGGTCAAAGGGCTGCACTTGAGGACCTAGGGGCCATGTGTGGCCTTGATGCCACGGGTTCCCCACCCCTGCACCCCAACACCCTCCTTTCCACATCAAACTTTCCCTAGATCTTCATCCTTTATGACTTCTTTTTGAGCTGCCTCAAGAGAAGCATCCTGACTTTTTTTTTTATTATTTTTAAAGATTATGGGCTCTAGACCTGGAAGGAGTCTTATTAATCTTCTAATCCAAGGGTTCTTGATCACCTAATTCTGGAGCCCATGAACTGGTTTTTCTAATAGCTTGATGATTTTATTCCAATGTAGTTGTTCTCCTTTGTAAATCTATATATTTTATTTTATGCATTTAAAACCATTATTCTGAGAAGGGATCCATAGATTTCATTAGACTACCTAAAGGGTCCACAACACCCAGAAAAGTAAAGAATCCCTGATCTAACCTAACTCTTCTTTTATGGTTGAAGAAATCAAGACTCAAGAGAATTTATGTGGCTTTCCCAAGGTCACACAAGTAGAACCAAGATTTGAATTCAGTTTTTCCACTCAAAAGCTGGTGACTTTTCTAATACATAGAAATAATCTGAAGGCCTTTCCAGCTCTGGTTTGATGCTGCTTTCCTCCTTTCCATTGTGCTTTTAATCTCATCCCCTCCCACCTCTTCCATCAATCATCCCTTCTCTTGTAGCCCCAATCTTTTCCTCTCCATTGGTTTGCATGTGTTATTTAATGAAAGCAAACATGTAAGCAAAAATTTCCCACAAAACCTTAGAGACATAGGGTCTGCTTTCCTATCTCTTTATTTTACTGCCAAACTTATAGAAAGAATAGTCTATAACTCATTGCATCCACTTCCTCACCACCCACTTCTTCCTTGAAGAGTGGTTCTTACATCATTCTGCTAAAACTTGAACTCTCCAAGGTCAACAATAACACCCCTAATCACCAAATTTAAATACTTTTTCCCCAAGTCCTCATTCTCCTTGACTTTTCTTCAATATTTGACAGTGCTAACTATTTTCTTTTTTGAAACCCTATCCTTCGGCTTCCATAAAATGACACCAGCCTCATTTTTGATCTTTCCTCCCCCACCATGATATAGACGCTCCCCACATTTCGGTCCTTGGCTTTTCAGCTGCTCCTTTTCTATAATCTCTCCTTCTATGATCCTGTCCTTTCTTGTGGCTTCAAGGATCACCTGTATGGTTCCCAAATCTATACCTCTAGCTTTGATCTATTTCCCAAACACCAGAATTTTGAATTGTGTTACATACACACACACATACACACACACACACACACACAAACACATATACACACACACCACCACCACCACCACCACACCAACAGCAATAACTTTATTATTCATCATCAACTCTAACCAAAGGACTGAAACCCGCAAATACACAGGGAGATTTAAAATTTTTGATGGTCTTACGATCATAGATCATAGATTTGGAGCTGGAATAGAACTTGGTTAAAAAAAATTATCTTATTTGCATTGATGGATTTTGTTTTTATAACATAATTTATTTCCCAATCCATCCCTCCCTTATTTATGGAGGCATCCCTTGTAACAAAGATTTAAAAATAGGAGAGAAAAATCAGTTTGGCAAAATTAACTAATATACTCACCATATTGAAACATATTCTGAACTGATGTACCTTCCCTCCCTCCCAACCTCTGCAATAAGGAGAGGGAGGTACATTTTCTCATTTTTTCCAGGACCAAAGTTTGTCATAATTATACAATATTCAGTTACTTTCTCTTTTCTTTTGTTCTTTCTCTTACATTGTCTCAGTTGTGCACCCTGTTCCCTGTTCTACTTTCCTCATATTCCATTGGTTCATATAAGTCTTCCCAGGCTTCTCCAAATTTTTTATGTTGATCATTTCTTATAGCTCAATAATTCCCTTACATCCTTGTGCCATGGTTTGTTTAGCCATTCTCTAACCAACTCCTTCATTGACAAATAAGGAAACTGAGGCCCAGAGAGGTTGTGACTTGGCCAAGATCATCCAGGCCCTCTGATTCCAGGAGTGATTTTTTTCCCTCTATACCGAATAGCCTCCAATCTTGTTTCCTTTCTTCCTGATAGTTATTTAAAACAGTGGACCGGGGAAGCAATGCCACCAGGAGGAAGACTGAAATATAATTGGGAAATATTTAACAAAACAAAACTGCAACAGAACATAGATGATGTTAGCGTGTGGTTTTCTAAGTCAACATGCCGCCTTCAGGTATCCTCATACTCTTACTTGCTATTATCTATAGTATGGCTTACTTTTCTCCCTTTGGCTCTTTTCTAATGTTAGGTGGTTGTGTTGAGCTCTGTAGAGGGGACTGGGACTGTGAGCCTGAAGAGCACTGTGTCAGCAATGGATGTAGCCATATCTGCTCAGACCAATATATTTAGGTAAGAGGACCAAGTCTGTTTCCTGTCTGTTCTCCCCCCCTCCCCAACTCTGCCCAGTTCATTCCATTGAACTCAACAGGTTTTCCAGAACAGTCTGGTTAACCACTGAGAAACAAAAGCCTAACTGTATCTCTGGGCATCTCTTCCTTCTTGGAGGTCACCTCATCACACTCTCACCACTGCTGTCCCCCTCTCCCCCCACCAAGGAAAGTGTTGGCATTTTAGGGAAAGCTGAATTTCTCTAATGTTCCATTTGCCTCCTTATCTTTCTTCTTTTGAGTGATCAGGGAATACAAACCATACAATAATAACAATAATAATAATTTTTTAAAAAATACCAAATCACCAAAGTGCTCCTTTCCCCCTCACTTAGGGGGTATTTTATCACAGTACGTTCATCCAAGCACTTCCATTGCTATGGAAGGAGCTTTGAGGTCATTGAATCAATCCCTCTCATTTTCCAGAAACAGGAATGGATTTGCTCAGTGTCCCATAACTAATTAGTGGCAGAGCCAAGGAGGAGGCAACGTCACACGGTGAAATGGTTGTTGGCTCCGGACTTGGAGAATCTAGGTTCAAATCCTAACTCTGATGCTTTTTGCTTATGTTGCATAGGGCAAGTCACTTAATCTCTACTGGGGTCACAGTCCTCATCTGTAAAATGAGTAGGTCTCTTCCAGCTCTAGATCTGTGGTTTATAAACTAGATACTCTTTGGGGTCCCTTCCAATTATAGATCAATGGCCCAATGATTTGAATCAGTGTTCCCAGTGGATTTATCCCATGATCTTACCAGACGAGAATCCTGACTCTGACACTGAGGCTAGTCATTTAACTAGCTTTGTGACCCTGGTCTGGTTAGTCATCTTCACTAAACCCCAGTTTCTTCATCTGTAAAATGGGATAATAATACTTGTGGTACCAGCCTCATAGGGCATTCATATTTGTAAAATGCTTTGCAAATCTTAAAGGGCTATATGAATACTAGGCATTTTTTTTTATTATCTCCCATTGTCTTGCTCAAGAGGTATGTATCTGCTTGAGTACATTCTAAGTTCATAAGCACACTGAAGGCAGGCATTGTATCTTTCAGTTGGAGTTTGTATAATGCCTAAAGTATCATGATGATAACTGCTCAGTGATAAGAAGAGAAGATTTAGGAAACTGGGATGTGGAAGCTTGGGCTACTCCACTTATGCCTGGCTTTCATTCCATGACAATAGACTATTGCAGAAAGGAGCTAATTGCTTAAAAAAAAAATAGTCATCTGTAGAAAGGAGGGATTCTCCTGCATGGTCCGCATGGGCCACGGAAGCCCTAGGGAACACTTGGAGTTGCTCTGGGTAAGAGAGACCAAGGTTCTCCCAGTACTTCTGTCACATTCTTTTGTCACTGTGGAAGCTGTGGATAATGGAAAGCAGTGAGACAGGCCAGGGCAGCTGTAGGCTCACTCAGTGTGTAAGATCTTTGCTTTAATTTTGTTTTTGTTTTTTCATTTGCCAGAATCTCCTTAGAGAAGAACTCACTCGAGAAAAGTCCACTGGGAGTTGTTCCTATCTTACTGGAGTTCTTACCTTAGAAAATCTGATAAACTGTGGAGGCTTATGGTGGGTGGAGTGGTGGGCAGGGAGGGTGGGGAGGAGGGAGTGGACCGGAGGTGAAAGATATAAGGGTCCAGTGGAGAGAAATGGGAAGTGTGGCTTCACAGAAGACCTTTCCTTCTTAATAAAACATTAACATTGCTGGCCATACGGTTATTTCTTTAGAGGTTTGGTATTATGCCCTAGTTCAAACTAATGGCCCTTAAACTTTGTTTGCCAAGATTTCGAGACTACAATACATGCATCAAAGAGCCTTATTACTCAAATTAACTCTACCCCCAACCCCTTTGCTTCTCCTAGTTCTCTAGGCCCAGAGCAGAGCAAGAAAGCCACTTCCCCCTTGTAAAAATAGGTAAAGGGCATTGTGACCAGTGCCTGGTCCCATTTAGAAATCTAGACCCTGGAAGTATGGCTATGACTGAGTGAGTACACCTTCCATCATTACTTTCCAGGGTTCATATTTCATCTAGAGTATGATTTATTCTATCTCTCAGGCTAAGTCTTCATCCTAATGGCCACACTCATCCTTCCCCTCATAGCATACTGTGCCAGTCAATATCTTCTGACCAAAGACTTAACTAAGCAGGCAACTTAATTACATTAAACACATAGTAAAAATAGAATCTTTAATTACAGGTGACATAAATTACATGTAACATCCCATTCAATCTCCAGCCCCAGCTTCAGATTCTGTTATGTGGCGGTTCCATCAGGTTAAAGTTCATTCCCTCTGTCTCTGCCTCTGTCTTTGTGTGTCTCTGTCTTCCTCTCTCTCCCCTCTCTTTTTTCCTCCTTCCTCTCTCTCTCTTTCTCCTTCTCTCTCACCTTCCCTCTTTTTTCCATCTCTCTCTCTCTCTCTCTCTCTCCTCTCTCTCTCTCTCTCTCTCTCTCATAAACACATACACACACACACACACACACACACAATCTCTGTGTGTCTCTAGATACGCATGGGACTAACTCATGATTATTTGTCTTCATTGAGATTAGACAATGCTGTGGAAGCTCTCAGTGATTTTCCTGGACTCTGATACATTGGCAAAAGGGCACACAAGAAAACTCTCCTAAATCCTAGACGGTTCTGGTCCACTGGGGTCTGAACTCTGCAACCCCCAGCCCAGAAACCCTGCTAAAATGCCCTAGAAGCCACCAATGTAGGGGGACAGATGCCTCAGCTACTGTTTTGTCCCTCTTGGTTCCTGTCTATTTTACCTTCAGACTCTTATGTTTTCTACATGAATCTTCCCATAAATCCATCATACAAATCTCTTTCCATCCAGAAAGTGCATTGTGAACAACCTTGAACCAGTTGAGGACTATAGTCCCCACCATCACCCTTCCTTCCCTGCAAGCTGTCTTCCTCCTTCCCCCAACCCTGGTAAATATACCCACTCAGATCTTATAGATCAGGTTACAAAGGATACAAAAAACCACATCAATCATCACTTCTTTCCCACAATAATTTTGCCATTCACTGACAATATTACTCAAATTTATACTAAATGTAATCTAGGAAGATCACAGATTAAGTGTACCCACAATGTCTTACTCCAACCAGAACTGAACAACGATCGAGTTTATTGTTAGAAAACAGGCACGGAAGCATGAGGAACTGGAAATCATCCCCCACCTTTCCTCTTTCTAAAATGCAATATGGTGTGACTCAGTGATGATGATGCTGCATAATCATGGAAGGAAAGAGACATCTCACCTCCTACCCCCACTCTCCAGCTGCCCATGAGTTCTGACTTCCACCCTCAGGGAAATGACTACTATGCTGGCATCACCCTCTAGCTGCCTAGTGAAATGAAGCCATCTGCTCACTCTCAGCAGTGCTGAAAAAGTGCCTGGGCCTCAGCCCCTCATCCAGCCTGCTAGTGAAATTGTAAGGATTGCATTTGGAAACCTACCTTTGAATTCCAGTGCAGAAGCAGTCCTGAATGGAGGCTTGCTATTAGAAGCCATAATTCCTGCCCCTTCCACATTGCCTTATCTGGTTTTTAGCCCTCAGGGGCCCCTGTACATTCACCAAATCCTCATCTCAGCATGGTGGGTTCCCCCATATTTTTTTGTCCCTACCCCGCCTGACAATTCACTGGAAGTATAATGGGGAACTAGAAAGAGCATGGGATTTGTAGTCAGAAAGCCTGCCTTTGCTACTTACTGGATATGTAACTTTGGAGGAGTCATTTATACTCTCCAGGCCTCAATTTCCTCATCGATAAAATTAAGGGGAATGTTTGTGATGACCTTTAAGATCACAGGTCAAAGTCTATGATCTCAAGACTTGTTTGATCTCACAGCAATGGCTGTCTTTCTAGAATTCCCAGCACCAGTACCAGGCAAAAATGAACATTTTATAGGTGACTTAGTGGAGTGGGAGCTGAGCTAGGATTCAGGACACCTGGGTTCTAATCTCAGCTCTCCAGCTAATCAGCTGTGGAACCCTAGCAAGTCAGTCTCCTCCCCTCTCTGGGCCTCAGTTTCCATCTCCACCAAAACAAAAAAATGAGTGAACTGAATTAGATGACCTTTAAGGGATTCCCCGACTCTAACACTCTATGAATAATGAGTGAGTTATAATTCTGATAAAATGAAACCAACACCTGGGCCACTCTAACCAATTCCAGTTGGAGTCAGTTCTGGAATCGTTTGTTTCCTGGAAGAAAAGGAAGAAAAGGCACTGAAGTTGTCCAGTCTGAAAAATGGGGCCCAGATTATTTTTTTAAAAGTATGTAAATTCTAAATTTCTACAGGAAAGAGAAAAAGAAGAAAGAGACTTAAGTTGTGGTTAGAGAGGGTTTGGTTAAGGCTGAAGAAGAACTTCTCAATGATTTGAGTCATTCGACAAAGGAACAACCAGCCAAGGGAGAGGACGGAATTCTGACTCAGGAAAAGAGAATTCTAGGTTTCAGAATTCCATGGCTTCTCTTGGTTAGTTTAGGTGGATAGCTGACTGAGGTAGATCAGAGAACCTCTTGAGTTCAATCCCAGTTTTACATACCTACTACTTGAAGAGAGAACTACCAGTAGCTAACAGATTCCTAGTTCAGGGAATCTTTCCCCTTGAGTTACTAGTTAATCTCAACTCTGCAGCCACACTCAGATATCAAGGAAGAAGACGGTAGCTAGTGGGGGTATTTCTCTGTAGTTATCTCCTCTCTGGTACTCCTGGAATTTGCACTTATAATACTCACAAGTTGGGTTACTAAATGGTGGCTACTACCTCAAGATTCTAGAGGTAATTTGTACATATCCACTCCTAACATTATAGCTCATGAGTCCCCACCAATGAGCTTCCCCTTAGCAATCAGCCAGTAGATACAAGTAGCTCTTAGCAAAGGCATTTATTAAAATGGCATAATATGAAAAGTAGCTACAAAATATCATCTGTATAAATTTGGAGCTTGCTGTCCCAGAGTCTCCATGGGAAAAACAGATTCAAGGGCAACTAGGTGGTGCAGTGGATAGAGCACCGGCCTTGAAGTCAGGAGGACCTGAGTTCAAATCCGGCCTCACACCAAACACTTGACACTTAGTAGCTGTGTGACCCTGGGCAAGTCATTTAACCCCAGTGGCCTAAAAAAAAAGAAAAATAGTTTTAAACTTAGAGCACAATGGAAGTGAGGCACATATGTAGGAAGGCAACTCACAACCCCTGCTACTTCAGGGCCTAGAAGTCCTTTTTGCAGATCCATTTGGGAGCAAAACTTCTGCTGCGTGAGTTACTTAGCTGGGTTCCCAGGATCTGTTTACCACAGCTCTCTTCTCTGCTGCCAAGGGTTCCATCCTTCAAGGCTGCTCCCTCCCTGAAGTGTCTGCCTTTTATACTCATGTCTGTCTGGAGTGTTACTCATCCCTCAAATGTGCCTCAGGTTCTTTCAAACCAACAAACTCTCTTGCTGCTGTATGGGCAAGTTGATGCTAGATGCCATGGCCAATAGCAGAAGGGAATGAAAGAGAAAAATGACCTCTACCTACCCTGCAGAGGCTGGCTTCACACAGGACTTCTGAGTCTGTAATCCCTCCAAATCAAGTAATTGTCCCCGGGGCTTATCTATTTAAAGCCTTATACAGGCTGGTCTAATTTTTGTTCCTTCAGGGAAGTGGCTTCCTTTAATTTCATCAGTATAAAGTGTTTGCATATAAAGGAGTGACTGGGGAGTAGGAGCATCTTTATTGATCATTTAAAGCCTTAAGATTTCATTCTAGGCCCTCTGGGCTGGGAAGTTGGCCAAAAATGAACTGCCCTCTACCTCTAACGGGCACTGGAACACTTTAAAACAAATATGTTGTCAATCATCAAGGATTTATTGAGCAGCAGCCATAAGACAATCAGTGCTTAGTTGTCCTTTGTTCTCAAAGAGGACCAAAATGGCATCACTGTGCTAGAGTCAAGTTTCAGTGTGTCTGAAGGTGGCTGTTCAGACCCATATGAGCTTGGCATGTTCTACCACAGGTCAGGCACAAATAGTCCATGTGAACATTCGGGGAGGATTCTCTAAATTTGCACATCTTGCATTCTTTTGAGCTACTTGATTTCTGCTTTGCTCACAGAGCACAGCACCTTCTCTGATGTGGGCACACCATGCTGGGCTGTCCCCTGCCAGTGTCTTCCATGTCACACAATCAATTCCAAAGTTCTTAGGAGAGTTAAGAACTCTCTTAAAGCTCTAAGATCAATTTTTCTCAGTGCTCATGGGAATCACAGGATTCCAGAATTGGAAAGGACCTCAAGGACTTCCTCATTCAACTCACATCTGAAAAGAGATTCCCTCTATTACATGCTCCACAAGTGGTCAAGCTCATATCACTCTGTCTTAGAACTTTTCTCAGTTTTTTCTGTGTTTTATAGAATCTCAGAAACACTGGAAACGCATACTAATTATCATTGCAGAGGTATATTGGGGTGGTTAGCCCATGGTAATT